TTGCGCTTGCCAGGCAGGCGCTTTGCCGCTGAGCTAAATCCCCAGCCCCTCCATATGAATTCTTTCTAAAAAGTTGAGCTGTATATGTCTTGGGTGTTTTCCATGCGGGCACATAGATTTATTTACTGACTCTGCATGACGTACTGCCATGACCAGGGGACCTCCTGTCATCGGGCATTTGATCATTTCAGTCCTGCGGTGATAAACTGTGTTGGTTGGATTTTCTTTTTTTTTTTTGGTCTTTTTGAGACAAGATCTCGCTATGCAGTTCAGGCTGGCCTCGAGCTCTCTTTGTAGCCCAGGCTGGCCTCGAACTCGCAACGATCCTCCTGCCTCAGCCTCCTGAGTGTTGGGATTACAGGTGTGCACCACCACGCCTGGCAGGTTGGATTCTTAACTATGACCCATGCTCATGTAGTTAACCGAACCCTCGCCGCCCTCTGAAGCACCCTTGCTTCCATGACGGGGCCCAGGAAAAGGCACAGTAAGCTGACCACCCACCTGGAACCTGAGTCTTCATTAGAATTTTAAATGGATCCAGTGAGGACCATAGCAGTGAAAGATAAATATTGCTGATTGACAGTGAGTTTCACAAAAAAATGTCTCCAGCTGTGGTTTATACAGTGGAGGAAAACGTCTCCAAAATAAAAAATGTCTTTGGCGACATGAAAGATTTTGGCTAACTGTTGACCATTTGAAGGCTGGGAGTGCTGGGAGGAGTTTTTGGTATCTTGAGGGTGCAGCTCCCTGACCTCACTCCTGTTTAAACAGTGCCTCAGTCTTTCCGCCCTTGTCCCAGGGTACCTCACTGTTCCCGGTGGTGGCCGGATATTGTGCTTGGATTCCCATTCCTCTCCAGCAGCAGGTAGTGCCCCGGGCCCCGTGCCCCGTGCCCGGCGTCAGAACACTTGTAAGCTCTGCTTTGCTGGTGCTCCTTCAGCTTCTAAGTGGGTTTTTTTCTAATAATGCATGTCAGAAATTGAAACCGCAATATATGTTTTAACCTCTGATGAAACAGTGTTCATTGCTGTACCTGCCGTGTATGCTGAAATAGAGCACTGGTGTCTGATCCAGTTTTCAGATGCCCCTGAATCGTTTTAAAGCGCACACAGCTAGCTGTTCTCATGTAGGAGTTCTGCCAGGGGGCGCAGCAGGCACAGGAGAGGTGAGGGACCCCTTGCTTTTCTGAGTGGCACCTCCAGACTTCTGGCCCCACCTCAACAATGGCAGACTGCAAAAATGTCCATAAAACCATTTCCCGGGAATTTACTTGTTTTAAAAACACACCTAGGCAGCTCAGGTTGTGTTTGAGTTGGAACGTGCTTATCCTGTTCCGTTGCGGGACCGGGTGTGTGCTGTGTGCTTTTCCTCTTCCTCCTTCCTTAGAGCTCGTCTCAGTTACTTTTCTCATGGCTGAGACAAAATACCCAATGCCGTAAGTTAAAGGCAGAAAGGTTTATTTAGCTTATGGTTCGTAGAGGTTTCATTCAGTTCATGCCTTGGCTGGCTCCAAGGCAGGGTGGCGTGGCAGAGGGGCATCGCAGAGGAGAAACAGCCCATGGTGGGCAGAAGGCATTAAAGCAGCGAAGAGGCAAGCAGCCACACAGCGCCTTCTGTTTTTGTTTTTGTTTTTCTTCTGGTACCAGGAATCAAACTCACGATGTTGCGCTTGCCAGGCAGGTGCTGTGCTGCTGAGCTAAATCCCCAGCCCCTCCTTCTGTCCTGTATATTCCATCCAGGCTCCGCATCCTTCCGGCTGATAGTATCTATACCCAGGGGGTCTTCTCATTATCCACACCCAGAACTATGCAAACCAATTAGTGGACTGATTTAGTAATCACACCTTTGAGATCGCAGCATCACACACGTGAGATCCAGCCACTTCTGAAGAGGCATCTCTGATCACAAGCTGTAACAGAGTTCACTGGAAGGCGGGACTGAGGGATGTTAACCCCAGACTGTGCGTTAGTAAGTGATGCTCTGCAGAGTCACGCTCCAGTGAGAGCCGGGAGCGGGGAGAGTCCGTGTGCCTCTGTCCCTGCCCAGCAGTGCGTGCTGGATGACACGGAAGGGCAGTGGCATGCCTTCTGCACACGCAGGCGGTGGGAGGGCTGTGCGGTTGGCACTCTGGGTGCACTCACTGTCCTGTGTCCCTCCGTGCTGCCCAGGTGCACAGATTTTATGAGTTGACGGCAAACAAAAGTTGCTGTTCTATTGAAAAACAAAGTTGTGGAGTGTGTTTCGTGTCTCTGGGCAGAAAAAGCATTGTTTCAGATGTAACTTCTCTGTTTTCTTTGCACTTAAAAGTGTGCAGCCACAGAGTGGCCTCTCCTGGGCTCTCTCTGTCATGGTGACGCTGAGGCAGTAGCGCCACCACCGCCATCGTGTGTTTAGCTGGGGATAGGAGGCAGCAGGGCCTGTTGGTTTTCCTCCAGGACTCTAAGGAATCTCTTCTCCCAGTGGAAAAACTGCATGCACGTGTGTGTGCAAGAGGTGAGAATGCTGACCTGAAGTGAGGTGGCAGGTATTTTTAACTTTAAAATGAATTTTGGAGCCAGGTATGGGAGCACATGCCTGTAATCCCAGCACTGTGGGAGGCTGAGACAGGAGGATTACAAGTTTGAGCGCAGGTTGGGTAATTCAGTGACTTACTGGCACCCTATTTCAAAATTAAAAATAAACAGGGACTGGGATATATAGTTGAGCACAAAAGCCCTGTGTTCAGTCCCCAATATCATAGAACAAATTTTTTTGAATGTTGACAGGTTCGAATATTAAAAAATAATGAAGAGCTGTTCCTGAGTGGACTTTGGCCTTTGCTCTGAGGATCCACTCATGGGTTCAGATGATCATCATTTTGCCTTGTTTAACTTGTCTCACTGGTGGCTGTGACGAGGCAGCTCACTGTGGTCCCTGTTTTCATCTCTTCTGTCTGTTATTCCCTGAGATGCACTAACATGCGCTTACTTCCCGTACAAATTTTCATCAGCAACTTCATCCGTGGGTCGTAACAGGTCTGCCGTGGCCTGCAGCTCCTGTTTGTCTGTGTTGCCCCAAGAGTAAGCCACGTGCATCTCTCGGGTCTTCCTTGTCCAGAGTGCAGGGTTCGCATGCCCGGTCCCCGTGCCCGGCCTGGAGAAGTAGGCGTGGGTCCTGCTGGAGAGAGCGGCACAGGACGCAGCCTAACTCGAGCCTGGTCCCTAACCCTTTCCTCCTCTTCCCTTTCAGCAGACCTACTCTAGTGACATCCACTGTGTTGAGGAGATTCTCAAGGTGAGTTCTCGTTTCCGTCTGTCGTCCGAAGCACCCTCAACCCCCTGTGTGCCTCTGCCTTAAGGACAGCTGCCAGCCCCAGCCCCGCCCCTCTGGGAGCGGGGCTCCCCACCCCACCCCCAGCAGCAGCATGGACCCTGGCATGACAGAGGGAGACGTAAAGCACTACTTTCTGAATTCGCTAACAGATTTTATTAATTAAAAGGAAGTCCACCAACGGCCTGGCATCTGGACCAGAGTTTTATGGTGTTTTCAAGTTTTTGTGGCTGGCCATTAGGGCCCGGAAGTTGGTCACATCCCAGAGGAGACGGCTCCTGGCGCCACCGTGGTGGCGGGCACCCGGGGCAGATAGCCTGGGTTTGTGCCTGCCGTGCTTCCGAGGGGGCGTCTGGTGTGTCGGCCTCTTCTTCAGTGAGACTGGCATTTTAAGGAGGACAGAAAAAGGAGCAGAAAGTAAAAGCATATCTTTAGGCTTAGCCCTAGAGGCTTGTGCTTTGCCCCTGCTCGTTGAGACAGTTCGTGCACACGTGCGCTGCTTCTGCCTGTGCGTCGTGGAATGTGCGGCCTCCGTCCTTCAGCGCTGCCTGCGTGTGAGCAATTCCTCTAGGATTCAGTTCCAGGAAAACAAACAAAACTGAATTCTCCTCTCAAGCTCACATGCCCTTTCTTTTTAATCAGAGAAGAACCACATAAACTATCATGTTTTCCATTTTGGCTGTAATTTCTTAGAAATCTGGTGTTCAATTGTCATGCTCAAATATGGCAGCTGTAGTGTTGTATTCATTTCTTCTCCTTCCTTTGTGGCCTGCAAGTTGCTTCTGTATCAGTTGTAATGATTCTTCACTGTAAAGTTTTTGAGTTTAAAGTGGAAGACAAGCCAGGCGTGGTGGCTCACACCTGCAATCCCAGCACTCAGGAGGCTGAGGCAGGAGGATCATTGCAAGTTTGAGACCAGCTTGGGCTACAAGGTGAGCTCAAGGCCAGCCTGAACTGCATAGCAAGATCCTGTTTCAAAAAAGACAAAATAAAATAAAACAAAAAGATTTATCTTTTTTAAAAAAGTGGAAGATAGGTATTTGGCCCTGGTCTCTTAATATTAACCTATACCAACTTTTCCCTCAAAATACACTTACATGATTTTGTCTTTAATTTCCTGTTGTAAAGTTGTAAGTGATGGTGGTGCTTACAACCAGTGAAGAAGTGTGTTGGTTGTTATGTTTGTGATCTTTTTTTTTGAGACAGGGTCTCGCTATGCAATTCAGGCTGACCTTAAACACACTATGCAGCCCAGGCTGACTTCAAACTCAGTGATCTTCCTGCCTCAGCCTCCCGAGTGCTGGGATTACAGGGGTGCACCACCACGCCCAGCTTGTTGGTGATCTTTGCCTTGTGAAAAATTTGGCAATAGTAGTATCTAGCCAGATATTTGGGAGATACTACAATTGTTTTTGTTTCACAATGTTTTTTCCTTACTTTGTAGGTAGGGCTTTCTGAGAAAGTTACCTCTAAGCCTGAAGCATAGTTCAAGATGAGAACTTTCTGCCAGCCGGCAAATACGATAAATAAATACTAGCCGGAGTATCTTGATCTAGTTTTTCTGTCATACTTTCTCTTTTCTGTTTCTGAAATATCCTGGTTAGTGAGTTCTGTTTTGTTTGCGTTTGATTTGTTTGTCTCAGCTAGTGAATGCTCAGAATAAGGTCTAACCTAAGTGTAAAAGATGGCCTTAACGTTTTCACGGAAACTGGGGTGACTTGCTCTGTAGTTAGAGAACTACAGCAGCATAGACACATTGTTGTCGTCTGCATGAATGGTTCTCTTCGGGTTTGATGTGTGTTAATATTACACACATCGCACCTCCCTTCTGTGGGAATGATGAAATAGCATCAGATGAACGTGGTGCTGTAGTTTTTATTTCCGTGAGTCCGTGCCTGCAGCGGCAGTGCCTGCACTCGTGGTGGGGAGCTGGGGTGTGCACGCACGCATCTTCATCTTTTTCTTTCCGTTTCCCGTTTACTGATGCTCTATCTCCCTGTCTCATTCATCCCGCTCTTTAATTTATTTATACTTCAGGTTTCTCACAGCAGAGAAACCCTATGATACTTAAGCTTGTGCAGACAAATGTTTTAAATTTAATAAATTCACCCTCCCTCCCACCTCAAGCCCTGCTCTAAGTAACTTCTTCCCCACCTAGTATGCAGTTGCTGTAGGCGGAGGCTGTGTGTTTTCCTTTGGAAATCCCGGATGAGGAAAGCGAGTGGAAGGGGATCTGGGACTGAGGCTCAGGCATTTTCAGGGTGGAGACTCGGGTCGGAAGTTGGTTTCTGCACAGCTGGCAGATGATCTCTAGGGCCCATCCCTGCTCTCTCGGATGCTGATGCAGACATTGCCCCCTGCCTCGATGTCCCCTTTCTGTCTTACACCAGTTCATTAAGATGGTCAGGAATCCCGACACTGGAGTAGAGGCGATAGGTTTCCTGGCTGCGTAGATCAGTCACGGACGTTGTTGGGTTCTCAGGGATGGTGTTTGGAGAACGTGGTCCCTGTTACTCCTACAGGCTGGTGGGTGAGCGGGTGGCAGACTGACTCTGCCCACGGCCAGGACCTGGCTATATAGCAGCACCCAGAAAGGGCAGTGCACCCTGGGCAGGTGCAGGGAGCCGGCGCGCTCAGCTGGCAGCCGTGGGCGTTGGGGGCGGTGGGAGAGACCCCCTTGGGGCCCTGACGCCGGGATTTCTGGCGTGTTTGTCCTTTGTTTATTTGTGAAATCCCCGTCAGCTGCAGCTGCTGTCCAGCACTGGGGCGCCGTGGCAGTGGGAGACGTGGGTCTGCGGTAAAACGCTGGGGGCTGAGAACGAGGCGGGCAGAGGCTGGCTTTCGAGGAGCAGCTGGGACTGGGCAGTGTCGAGGGAAGCCGAGCCAGGAGGAGAGGGGCAGCGGCCGTGCCGCACCGAGCCCAGCGCCCGTGGTGGGGCCGTGTCCGTGTGAGGAGTCGGTGAAGGCAGCGAGGGGACCCGGGCCACCTCCCGCAGGAGCGGCCCGCGTGCCCAAGTCCCTCTGGCGGGCTGGCAAGGCTCCTAAGGAAGTGCGCAGATTCCTTCAGAGAGCAGGGAACCTTAGGGTCTGGGGGAATGTGTGCACTTTCCAGCGCCCTGACTTACCGCGGGACCAGCTTGGGTATCTGTGGGTGCTGTTCAGGAGTTACCATGGAGATCCTGAAGTTGCCCGAGACCAGAAGGGTAATGCTTTCAAACACTGGCTCGGAATTGCCACATGGTTTTTTGTTGTTGTTTTTGTTTTTTGTCTTTTTGAGAGAAGGTCTCACTATGCAGTTCAGGCTGGCCTTGAACTCACAGTAATCCTCCTGCCTCAGCCTCCCGAGTGCTGGGATTACAGGCGTGCGCCAGCACACCCAGCTGCTGCATGTTTTTATATTGTAGCATTCTGGGGCTGGGGATTTAGCTCAGCGGCATAGCACCTGCCTGGCAAGTACAAGGTCATGAGTTTGATTCCCTGTAGCAGAAGAAAAACAAAAACAAAACCACACACACATATATTGTAGCATTCTGATGGTTTCAGACTTTAAAGTTTTTGCCAAATAAAAAAATGGCCAGGAGCACTCTTTGCAGTAGTGTTGAGATTTTTTTAACCCTCAACTTTGAGTTAAACATGGTACTGATCTGCATGTTTTAAGTGTGCAACACCCGTTCGAGCATTCCCTTACTTGAACTATTCCTACCATACTTTGAAAAGGGTGGTCTAACCCCCTTTTGTTGAGAAACAGAGGCTCAGAATCCAGGCCCCTCCCAGTGGCTGGCTTGGGTCAGAGTGGGATTCTCACTGGTCTCTGGCTGCACAGCTGCTGCTCTGGCCGTGGCCTCCCCAGGGCTTGGCCGCCTGTGGGCCAGTCAGATGGCTGCCTTTCATGTCTCAGACCAGCCCAAGCCAGCACAGCTACAGCACTGCGTGTGCAAGCTCTCTTAGTCTCTCCCGAGCTGGTGCAAGGTATCTGACCTGCACTCTGCCCGGCCATCGGCGCTCCTTGACCCTTGACTGAGTTCCTGAGAGCATAGTGTCCGCCTCAGTGACGTGTTGGGGTTAACGTTTTCCAAAGCCATTTTAGCCCTTCCAGAAAGTAAGAGTGTGCGAGGCACCTTTTATCGGACGTGCCTGTTGGCTCCAGGTGTGTGTGCGTAGTCAAAACAAAGCGAGATTCAGAGATGTGCTTAGGAGAACACAGTTTATGTTGGCATAAATAGATTAATTTGTAAGCTTTGGAAATCTTGCCTTCAACCAACGAAACAGTGAGTGAAAATTAAACTTTCCTTAAGGGAAGAGAAGGAAAGTCCTCGAAGGCCGCCTCCTTCCATGAAGTTCTCTGCCTACCGAGAGTATCACGGAAGGGTCACATCTATTAAAGGGCTCCCAAGCGGAACAAGAGGCTCCGTTTCTTTTCCCTTAAGTCAGACAGGAAGGGTCTCCTTCCTTCGAGCTGCAGTCGCTCCAGGAAATGCAGTCAAGCAGCCAAGGGAGACAGCGGGCAGGAGGGAGCCGCCTTCCAGCCCGCCGGCTGCTCCCGGTCCTTCGCCTGCTGACTGCAGCCCCTCCCCGTGCACAGCGGCCGTGATACTCGGCCTGTTGCGTCTGTTCACCTTCCTGTTTTCTTCTTCAAGCTGATTTATTTTTTCATTTTTGTAAGTTGGTGATCTTTCGCTTATGAACATAACTAATTCAAGTAGGTGTGTGTGTTTTTATTTTTTTTCCCCGGTACCGGGAATCAAACTCATGACTTCGCGGTTGCCAGGCAGGCGCTGTGCCGCTGAGCTAAATCCCCAGCCCCATCAAGTAGGTGTTTCTAAAGTGACTGAAATACCTTTTCAGACAGTACCTTTCACTTGACTTGCCGTCAGTCCACCCGACAGCCAGTTTAGAAAGACAGCTGGGGTAGCCTTGAATGTTGTGTTCATAATGTACTTTTTCTTCCCTGTCCAAATCTCTTCTCAGGAAATGACCCATTCGTGGCCGCCGCCTCTGACAGCAATACACACGCCCAGCACAGCGGAGCCCTCCAAATTTCCTTTCCCTACCAAGGTAATTCCTCAAGAGCAGGCCTGGCGTCTGCATTTTGTGGAGTGTGAGTGGTGCTGTGAGCCAGCTTTAGGAAGTATTACACTGAATTCTCCAGCATATGCGAGTGTGAGCACTTGGATGTGTGTGGTAGAGCTTTACGGCTTATAGAAGCATTCAGGACTTCGCGGTACCCTCTTTCATTGAGGACGCTTCTTGTGGAGATGGGCAACTGGTACAGGAGCAGTAAGTGAGGTGGGGAGCTGATCCCTAGTTCATGTATACACGCACACCACGCATGCCTCGTACTTCCTACATTCTCTTAAAAGGGTAACGTGATCACCTGTACTGCTAGTAGCTTACAGAACAAGTCAGTGCGCTGCTGAATCACGCATTTCTGGAACAGCATTTGTGAACTGCACATTTAAAACACGGTCTTCTTTTGCCTTGTACTTTTGAATAACCTTCAGGGTGTAGCCATTGCACCTTCCAGTCCGGTCCCGGCAGCCTTCTGTGGACGCGCATGAGGTTATAGCTGGTCCTCCGCGATACGATTCTAAAAGAAGTGATGTCAGTACAAACCCAGATTTACCACTTTTCCTATTTCACAGAGAGACTTGTAAAAAGAGTCGTTATTACTGGTTTTAAAGTAAAGCCTTCAGCTGTAAAAATATCTGTGCTCGACACCAAAGGAAAAATAAACTCTAGGAAAGCACCTTTATGTAAAAATTAGGCTAATGAGTATTTTAAAACTATTCGTGAAGATTAATTGAGATTGAAGATGGAATAGATGGATAATGTGAGGGTCCTAGAGCGAAGTATAGAATTTGTACTGGATGATATGGGTGTTTTCTGTTTCTACTTTCCTGTATCTTTGAGAGTTTTATAAGACTGTCTTTTCAATATTAAAAGCGACAGTTTTGTCTTTAGATTTGAAAAACCTTAATATTTTAATTAGTAGAGCTTTTTTTTTTCTTTCCCTAGGATTCTCAGCACATTAGCTCTGCAACCCAAAACCAAAGTAAGTAAATGTCTGGAATTGTTTATTGCATTGGAGAAGAAAACATGCTTTTTAGTGGTTTCCCATAACAGCATTAGTAACGAGCGCCCTGGTGGAGATGAAGCTTTCCCACACTGAGAGGAGGGAAGGAGCAGAAGCGCGAAGCTGTGCTTTAGGTGGAATTTAGGTCTCGCGAGGACTTACCGTAATGAAGATGATTTGGTAACACCCTCAACAACTATAAGCTGGTAGCACATGAGTTGAGCTTATTATCTTGAACGGGAATGGCAAAGTGTTGTAGCCCAGAGATCTGGGATAGATTGTCTGATTGGGTCGAGGCATTTTGTGTGATTCTTGTGTTTTGTTTTTTGGTGTTTTTTTTTTTTTGTTGTTGTTTTTTGTTTTTCTCCGGTACCAGGAACCGAACTCACGACCTTACGATTGCCAGGCAGGCACTTTGCCGCTGAGCTGAATCCCCAGCCCCCGATTCTTGTGTTTTTAAAGCAAAACTGAGAGACTTTTTATAAGGAGTACAGCACACGGCTTCTCTGGCTCCTCCCTCTCTGTCGGCCCTGTGGTTCTTCCTCGGTTCCTCTCTGTATGGACTGTGAGCACCTGAAAGCTGGGAGGGAAACGAGGCTGCCTGACTCCAGCATCTGTCTTCAGCAGCGACTGCCAGATCAGTAGTACATCGTTCGCCTCTTGGCTAAAGCCCTAGAAGGGTGATTAGGGTACTGGCAGTCGCTTGTTCATCAGATGCTTACTGGAAGGGAACAGGACACCTGCACAGGTGGAGCAGCACGTAGTGGGGTGTGGTAACGGCTGCGGGGGCGAAGTGGTGTTCTTCGGGGAGGAGGCGCAGGCCACAGCAAGGTCTCCGGTGCGCATGTACGCGTGTTGGATGAGGCACGCTCACTGAGGGCGTTGATAGAGACAGGGCTCTTCTGCCACCCCGATTCTTCCCCTCACTTCCTTGGTTCTTCTTGATGATTCTTTCGTTTGAGTTGTGAGGGTGTGAGCACGGGGAAAACAGCTTGTTTTTCTTGTAAGAAACAAGAAAAACCTCCTGTGGAGCAGGGCTGAGCAAGTTCCAGGTGAGACTCGGGTCCACCCTACAGCTGTCCCCTGTATATATAGAGCTTTACTGAACCCTGAGCGGACATATCAATAAAAGCGTGCCAGGAACTGATAACTAAATCTGCCCCCTGCCCAAGCTAGACCCAAGCCTGCCTGACTCTGCTGCCACAGTATCATGTAAGCCACCAGGGCAGGATGGCGGCTGCCTGTGGAGTGGGAGGTCTTGCACAGTTAAGCAGCCAGCCCCAGGAGCAGAGGCCGGCAAGGGGCAGGGGGGCGCAGGGCAAAGGCGAGGGCTGGGCCAGTGCAGGCAGGGAGCTCACACCCTCTCACGTCTTGCTGCTCCGTCTCCCCGGCTGCCAGGCAGGTGGGTCTGTGCCTTCCCCGGGCTGCTTATGGCTGATGGGATGCTAATTTGCCGCAGGAAGAATCTTCAGCCCATCAGACAGTTTTAAAGGTGCGCTCGTTAGGGACGATGTCCTCCTTGGCCCCGTGGGCTGACACCTGCTCCTCTAGGAGCGCTGGCCAGGTGCTGGTGGGAGCCTGCAGGCCTTTGGCGGTGCTGCCTTGTTGTCCCTTGGTGCTGTGGGAACTGTATCTCTGAGAACATGGCCCTGGGGTCTGCGGGAGAGTCGGGATGTCTGCTGGCTGAGGAGGGAGTGAGTGGGTGTGGCTTTTGGGGAAGAGGAGAGAATGCGGGTGTGTGTCTTAAAGTATGCCCAGCAAGGGGCCTCTGCTTCCCGCCATGGGTCTTCTGGTCCTGGTCCTAGGGCTGTGGAGTCCGTGGAAAGGGGACGTGCAGGCGTGATACACGTGTGCCCCGTGCTCATGTCGTGTTGGCAGAGCACAGCTGCGGGGGGGCCCTGGAGCAGAGTGACCTTCGCCCGACATTTGTCGTCATGGCCCCACCTGTCTAGACAGACGGGAAGGCACTTCCAGAATATGTCCAAGGGCCGCTGCTCGCGTGACAATGAGGTGACGAGCGCACACGTGGAGGGGCCGCGACAGGAGCGCTCGCCCTGCCACGAGGCACCTGCTGCTTTGCACGTCCGGTGCGTCTCTTTTCCCACCGCCTCGTGTGCGCACAGGCAGGGCTGCCTCCAGCTGCTGGCGGGGCCTCCGTGCTCCCCCTTCCCTGCTCCCGTTAGTGGTACCGGGCAGCAGCACCGAGTGACCCCCAGGCACACGGCATCCCGTCGCCATGCGAGCGATGGTGGCGCCTCGGTGCCCGCAGCTGAAGCCAGAAGTTCCCGTCCTGGTATCCAGCCCTGCCCCGCAGTGCCGCCCACACAGACCCCGCACCCGGCCTGGCCCTTCCCGGGCGCGACTTCTGTCCCTCCCGCTTCCTGGCTGCTGTCCGCCTCCCTACTGTCCCCCTGCAGAATCCTGAGTCCTTTGGGGCATGCTCTGTTTTCCTTCCTCTGACTTGCCTTCTTTGGTCATGACCGATGGAGCGGCCATTCTCCAGATCCCAGGAGAGTCACTTTGTGCAGTTGATTGCTGACCTTTGCCCACGCCGCCCGGGGTGGTGGGCACTGCGGTCTGCTTCGTGTCGCTCTGGCCAGTGCATCCTCCTGGAGGCCTGGGCGGGTGCCTCGGCCTCGCTGCCTCTGCCTGGCAGTCGGAGACGGGTGTGAGGGAGCGCGTGGGGTGTGGTGGCTGAAGGGTGGAGGGGACAGGTGCTAGACAGCCGCAGGTGGAGGGGGCAGCCCCGCCACAGTTCTGTGGGACCCTCCCCTGTCTCCGGGAACAGAACGCCCTCCCAGGCGGGAGAGCTCCCGGAAAGGCCAGGTGAAAGCTGCAGGCCCTGCTGCGGAAGGGGCCTTTGCTTCGGTCCACAGGAGTTGTTTGCGAGCATGCAGTGCGAGTGTCACCTGAGACCGAGGAGCCGGCCCAGGGCGGGGGCAGCGCTGTGGTTGCCCAAGGTTAACCTGAGCCCCGGGGCGGGGGTGAGCAGGGGCCCCGTAGCTCACAGGGAGTGGACGCGTGTCGCTGTGCGGTTCTGACGCTCTCTCCCTTCCCGCAGAACAGTATGACCCGCCTCCAAAAGCCCAGCCCAGTTCCCAGCAAGGAACGTCGTAAGTAGCATGCTTTCGTTTATTCCAAGTAAAGGCGCGTGTGCCGTGGGAGGGGATGCTGAGGGCTTGGCTGAAAAGAGGGAGTTTGAGCTGTTAGATACGTAGTAACTGTGGACAGCAGGCTTTGCCGTTTTAATTTTTAATTTTCAATAGATTCAGCTTTTAGAAATAAATTGGGGGGGAATGTGTACAATCTGAGATTTTTTTTTGCCACTTTTTTGGCCTAGTTTTCCTAATAAGGAGCTGCCCTGTTGCCCAGATGTTCTTTATTAAGGCCAAGCAAGCCTAGATATATATTTTGGGTTTGGGGAACGTTTTACACTTCATATTACAGGTTTTTAATTCAGCGTTTGACCCGGATCACTTCCTGACGGTATCGCACTAGTGTTTTCTTCTCCTTTCTGCCCCTGGAAGTGGCTCTGCGGGCCTGAAGGAGGAGCCCTTCGCCCTACCTGCCCGGCAGCCTGAGCGGCCGGCTCGCTGGCTGGGGCGGCTCAGGTGCGCCGGGAGCTCGGCCTCCAGCCGTCCTCTATTCTCGGCACAGTGTTTGTCCCATGTATTTGGGAAGGGGGCTGCTGTGGATCAGTTCTGAAACTGTAGCTGCGCTGACAAGGTTCGCTGATCTACTTGCCGGGACTAGATGTGGAACTGGGTTAAATCATTCTTCCCGTTCCCGAGCGCCAGCTCCTTGACGCAGTTTGTTTTCATTTCGACATAGCGAAACGAGCAAAGCAGAGCGTGCGAGCGGTTGGTGTTCTCGCTTTGTTTGTGGTGCTGGTGATCTAAGTCAGGGTTAGTGCGCACGAAGCACACCACCAACTGGGCTACATCCCTCATCATTTTTAATAAAAATAAATCTATTATAGACTGAAGGGTGGTTTTCTTCCTGGTGGTACTGGGGCTCAAACACAGGGTCTTGCCACTGGGCTATGTTTCCACTTCTTTTTTATTATTTTCATTTTGGGACCCTGGCCTGTGTTTGACAGAAAAGTGGCCTCGGACTGGGCCGGCAGAAGCCGAGCCTCCCGCCCCATCACTCGCACGTGTGCTTCGCCAGGCCTGGTAGCACATGCAGCTGTGCCGTGTAACGTGCAGTACCACCTTTCTAAAAGCTGATGTCAGCGTCATCTGAAACAGTCTATGAGAGATTAGTGATGGTCCCAGTAATCAGGGAAGCGGGAGGAGAGGGAGGGGTCTTGGGAAGCGTCCTCGAGACTGGGAAGATAGGAGAGCTGTGTAGGGTGGACCAGCTGTACTGATGAGTGCCAGAAAGAGGTGCGCCTTGGGAAAGGAATTAGTCTGATGAGCTCATTGTCGTGATGACTGGGTGAAAGCGGTGTCCCACTTAATTTGTATTTCTTTCCTTTTTGCGGGGGAGTACAGGGAATTGAACTCAGGACCTTGTGCTTGCCAGGCAGGCACTTGTCCACTGAGCTAGGTCCCCGGCCCCATTTAATTTGTAAAGTGGTCCTTAAGTCTCCTCCTGAGTGTAGGTTAATTTGACCGAGGGTAAGCTCTGGTTCTTTGCATGGAGTTCGGCTGCTTCAGGGACAGCTGGATGTCAGGGAGGTGGCCCGGTGCATTTATCGTGTCACGACCTCAGTTTACAAAGTTACGTCTACGTCTTCATGGCTGTTTCTTTCATTATTTTGTTTGTTTTTTGAGGCAGAGTCTCCCTGTGTAGTTCAGGCTGGCCTTGAACTCAAACCTGCAGCAATCCTCCTACCTCGCTCAGTCACCTGGGACTACAGGTGTATGCCACCACACCCAGCTTATTTTCCATTATTAATACCACGTAGAGATCCTTCGCAAGTGAAACAATACACATAGAAAGAATAAGGGAGGGCCCAGCAGTAAGGAAAAAGCTGTGAAATTTGCATCAACTCTTGAGTGTGTCTGAGCGGGGCGACGAAGCCTAGGGTGCCGTGTGAGCACCTGCTGGACCCACTGCTTCTTCAGTACCTGTTTCCCAGACACTCCCTCTGCAGGTGTCGGTGCTGCTCGCCGCCCGGTTCGGGAGAGGCGCGCGCGTGAAAGGAGGCAAGGCCTCGCCGTTGGGAATGCTCTCCCTGCCCGAGGTGTGGGCTGTGATTCTCAGGGACCTGCAGCGTTTCCTTCCTGCACACTTCCCGTGCCCTGTGTAATTGTGAGCAGCTCCTTTGTGTGTGTCAGGGTCAGAGGAGAGTTTGCTAATACCTTACAGACTGCAGCGCAGCTTGTATGTCTTTTCACTGTTAATATTCCTCTGCCCTCTTACCTTCAAAACCGCCAGATCCTCATAAAGAGCTACTCTCTCTTATTTATTGTTTGGGTTTTGCCTCTGAGACTACGGGTGCCTCCTTAGAAGAAAGAGAAGTGAGTTTCGGTAGCAATTTGAAATTTTATTTGCGTAGAAAGTTGCTTTGGAAATGAAATATGTGGATGTGAGGGCTGGGCTGTCCCCAGAGTTGGAGGAGGAAGAATGCAAGATTATTATTATTTTTTTGTCTTTTTGAGACAGGGTCTCGCTATGCAGTTCAGGCTGGTCTTGAGCTCACTTTGTAGCCCAGGCTGATCTTGAACTTGCAATGATCCTCTTGCCTCAGCCTCCTGAGTGCTGGGATTACAGGTCTGCACTACCATGCCTGGCTGCATCCGCATTTTTTTAGCTCCCTGAAAATAAAATAAAGGCAGCATATGTGCTGGACACTTCGCCCCTGCGGGTCTGCACTGAGGCATCAGAGTGGAACATTCTTGGGAATTCTCAGGGCTCTGTGGTTGGCCTTTCAGGAGGAGGTTTCTTTATGTGCGAGTGAGTGAGACTCCAGGCTTGTTGGATGTGCTTACTTATGTTGGTAGCATACATCTATAAGGAGGGCTTTTACTTATTTTTAAGAAGAAAAGACTAGAGATGTAAAATGAAAGACAACAGATCTTCCCTCTCTCCTTCCCTCCCTTCCTTCTGTGAGTTGATACTCAGGCTAAGGAGAATTGAAAATTTGTAAGATTGGACATTGAGACTTTTTTGTTCCTACGTAAAGAACTGTTCTGCGCCATGTTCAGAGATCCATCAACGTAGGCTTACAGTTGCTAGAGTGCATTAAATCGATATTAGGGGGTGTGGGAAGCCCCGATGGCAGAGGAGCCTCACTCCTTCACCTACACCGTGGGCTCCTGTGCCTGCAGATCGGGTGGGAGCGTCTGCTGGGACCCTCAGCGTGACTCCGGGGTTAGTGTGCAGCTTTCGTAAACAGTACGCTGAAGACCCCGAAACCCACGTTGCAGGGATGTTCTGACGAGGCAGACTTTAGTCGCTTGAAAGTGCCGCAGTGTTGGAGAGTTGTCCTCTTCTCTGAGTGTCCTCCCAGCTCCGCCCCACCGCGACCATGCGCCATTGTGTAGTGTTCAGGAGCTCCCTGGAGGGCGGTGTGCGCTTCTGCCCTTGACCTCGGGCCAGATGGAGGTCAGATAAAACGGAGAAGAAAACGCGGACCAAGCGCTTGTTATGTCATAGATAAACGTTAAATAAGTTTTAGCTGTGGTACTGGGGAAAAAAGTCCTCCTTAAACATATTGCTGCCCCTCACTGTGCAGAGAAATAGTATTCTCAGCCCTTGCCCGGGTCCTGGAGGTTCCGTCCTCCCGCGGAGGCATTCTGTAATCGCTGAGTGGCTGTGGGCCTGGTGGTGCCTTAGCTACTTAGGGAAGCAGTGGCCCTCAGCTAACGTCCTCAGTGGCTGCATTGGAGACTAAAGGCAGGGTGCACGTAAAACCCACCAAGGTGATGGCAGCGGTGGGGGGCGCCCGCTGGGTGAGGTGATGTTCAAGGAATGAGGTCAGAGAGGTCTCCGAGGACTTTGGATCTGAGGGCCACGCTGCTTGCCATGTCCCTGAAGGCATGCAGCCCTTGGGGAGTAATTCTTTGGTCAGAGGACTTTGCAGTTGATTTGCTTATGGAAAATCTGATTTCAGGGGAGATCTTTAAACCTCTGTGAGTCATCAAAGCAGAAATGTTGTAATTCTCTGAGAACCGATTGGCCTTCAGGCATTTCACCGTGTCTGGACAGTTGAGCCACGAGGTGTGCTACTCTCACAAAATACCCCTGCTTAGCCTGTGTTTGATCAAATCCCCCAGTTCCCGCCTGCACAAGTCCCCCTGTGGCCGCACGCGAGGGGCCCTGCAGTTGTGCTGGGTGAGCCCTTAGCCCTGCGCCCTCCGTAACCACTCACTGCTGGTCCTTCCCCTCCTCCAGCCCTCCGCGGGTCGGTCGCCCGCTGCGGAGAGTGCGCTCCCTCCTCTCCCTCTAGGCTCTGAGAGCCGCAGAACAGGAATCTTTCTGCTCAGACTTGAAGCCACAGGGTCTTTGAGCGTGCCTGCTCCGTATGGGGCTTCGGTGTCCGCAGGGAAGGAAGGACCCTGGGCACGGGCTGGGCTGGGCGGAGCACCTGCACACCTTAGGGAACAGACTTGACTAATCCTTTGTCTAGATCTTGTTTCTAGTTGACACTGTGTCATTAGTGTATTGTTTACTGATTAACTTCAGACTTTCCTTTATTCGTAGGTAGTCTTGGGATTTTTTTCCACTTCTTCATTTGACCCCAAGATTCGGTTCACCCTGGGGTTTAAACAATTGTTTACCTCTCCAGCCGCAGCTTCGCCCTGCCCACCTCCCAGCTGTCTGGCAGCGGGAACTGCGCACTGCGATGGCTCTCCCCCACCCCACCACCCGCGCCGCTGCAGGCAGCGTCTCCCGAGGGGGATCTGTCTGCTCTCTGCTGTTCCCGCAGCCTCTCTTGCTTTCTCGTGTGTGGCGTACAGAGCCCTCTGCCTGGTGCGTAGATCCCCATCCCCTCCTGCGAGGGCTGCAGTCCTTATTTCTGCCCTGCATCCAGGAGGAGTGAGAGCCCAGCGGAGTTGGAATGCTGGGAACAGGGCTGTGCCTGCCTCCTTCCTTCCCCTGGCCTTGGCCACCGAGCTCACATTGGTTTCAGGCTGGGCGGTGCAGGTTTATACCTGCTCGCCAGGGGTTTCTTCCCGTTTTAGCATTACTTTTCTTCGTGTTGTGGGTGCATCTAATACAGCCCCACATTGTGACTTGTTAGTTCCAAGTGTCTCCTGTGAGCTGCCCTTCACTGGCTCTTCCTCAAATAAAACGGTCGTAAGAAAGGTGCAGACCAGAAGCCCGTTTCCGCGAGTCTTCCTCGGGCTGTGAGTTACGTTCCAGAACAGCGGCAGTGTACATGTCAGGCAGGCCCGGCCCCTGGAAACGGGAGCGCGAGCGGGGCTGGTCTCTTCCTCTGCAGCGGTCGGCGGCTCGCGGAGCTGCCTGTCAGGGCCTGTGCCGGCCCTCTCGCCTCGAGAAGGAATCTGGGTGAAGGTGGAGGGTTGTTTCATGACTTCTACCAACCAGCGATGTCAGACACGGCCAGCCCTCTGCGCGGTTCAGTGACTTCACCTGAGTGACTCAGCTTTCTAGAACAGGGCCAGAGCGGGCCATGCTGTGCCATAAGCTTTGATACGGTTAGGATATGGATGAGTCTTTTGATCAGTTAGTGTATAAGCTTAAAGTTCATTCGCTTTTTAGGGGAACGATAAAATGCTTACTTTATTCCACGAGGGTACTGGCGCTTTATTCGGAATCAGCTCTTCCTCTGGGCGCATTCTGGAATTTGGGTTGATCTGTGTCAGGCCGAGCGTGGGGCTCATCCGGATGGAATTGGCTCTGCATCCCGGCCGGCCTGTGCCGTCCTCATCACCTCAGACCCACGGAGCGCTGTTCCCCACCCGCTGTGGGGCGGCCACAGCCTGGGCTGGTCCGCGGGGGCTGGCGGGCCTGTGGGGGGCATGTGGGGGGGGGCCTTCTCTCCGCCGGCTCTGCAGCACCCCCTCAAGGCGACTTGGCCCTGCCCAGCAGCCCCTGGTGTGGACGGGAGGCCGTCCCGGGCCTGTTTTGACCTGACCAGTTTCTGTGGTGTCAGCAAGCCGGGCCTGAGAGGCCCTGACCCTCACCGAGCGATGCACAGGCGCCCGGCCGCCCAGGTGTGACGTGAGTCCCCTCCTCGAATGGTCTGTGCCCAGCCACAGGTACAGCTCCAGGGACAAGCAGGGGCCTTCGGCAGCTGGTTTACTTCCAGGTGTTCCTAATCTCCAAAAGTCCTTCCCGTGTGACCAGGTTCCATGCTCCTCATCTGTGTCTGCTCAGGTTTTGTGTTTTATGTTTTTGTTTTGTTTTTTGGTCTTTTTGAGACAGGGTCTCACTGTGTAGTTCAGGCTGGTTTTGAGCTCAGTTTGTAGCCCAGGCTGGTCTCGAACTCACAGCAGTCCTCCTGCCTCAGCCTCCTGAGTTCTGGGAATACAGGCATGCGCTACCACGCCTGGCCCTACTAAGTCTTCTTAGGGTTTTTAGTAACTTCCAGTTGAACTGGGCATGTAGTTCGCGTTCCTTATCCAAAGCTTGGAAAACTCTCCCTCCCTCCCTCCCGTGGCGTGCCGGTTTGTGTGGAGTGGCCGCCTCTGGTGACATTATCAGTACTGCTTTGTGGACAATTTTGTGGTTACGTTGGCTGGGTCAGCATCTATGTCTGATAATTGCCCTACGAGATCTTTTCGTTCTTTATCAAGTAAATAATGCAAATGATGATGAAATGAAAGGGTCGGTGTATAAATCCTAGGTATGTCTTCAGTAAGCAATAGATTTTATTTGACCATGTGGTTTATCTTTTTTTGTTGTTGTTGTGGGACAGGGTCTGTGTAGTGCAGGCTAGCATTGAACTCACTGTGTAGCCCAGGCTGGCCTCAAACTCATGATGATCCTCCTTCGTCAGCCTCCCAAGTGCTGAGATTACAGGCGTGCGTCACCATGCAGAGCATGTCTTTTTCTTTTTTTTCGTAAAATATCTTGTGTTTTGTTTTTGTGAGAGGGGCCCTCACTGTGTAGCCCAGGTTGGCCTCAAACTCGCCGCGATGATCCTGCCTCAGCCTCAAGAGTGCTGTGATTATAGGCGTGCACCAACCACCACGCCAGAGTCCGTCCCCACTGTGAGGACCTGTGCAGCTTTTACCTGCGGGCTTATTTTATTAGTGTCTTCATAATTCTCTGAAGGGGAAATTCCAGAATCTGGGAAAGCACTTCACGGCACGTGCTATTCCTAGACACAAATGCAGCGAAGAGCGAGGTGTGTTTTCCTCGCAGGCCAGTACAACTGCTGACTGCCAGGCCCACGGCTCAGAGCTGTATTTCCAGCCTACTTAAAGTAGGAATTCAGCTTCTGTTTGGTAAACATTGAGCAAGATCTACATTTACAATGTCTGACAGTTTTCATTTTATGTAGACACTTACCACGGTATGTTTTTAGTTCACTTGTGGATGAAAGTAGTTCCCTGGCAGAACTGCCACGTTGCATGTAGGCGGTCATGTACAGAAGAACCAAGTTCTGTTGCTTCGTTTCATGACAAAATGCAGTGATTTTACTAGGGTTTCCCCAATAACTGCCCGCTTGCTTCAGCGGACATAGTAGCGGTTTTGCAGTAAAAGCTGTTGGTCAGTGTATTGATGAAGTGTTTTTTGGATACACGGCATGAACTTTTAATGTAATTGGCTTTTTGGAACATCAGTGACGTGCAGGTGGATTCTTTTCTTTCTAGTTTTACGTGCAGCATTTCTCCAGGTAGTCACACCCACAAGGTTGGAGAGAAGAGGGAGGCGGTGGTTACAAGTCATTCCTTTGGTGTGTGGGCAGCTCTGTGGAAGGTGATCAGTTTGAGGCGGGGCAAGTGTCAAGCTTTGAGGACATGGGCAGGTTGGAAAATGTTTAATTTCAAGGTTTGTCATAAGCCAGAATGCTTGGGGGATAGCGATTCCTAACTTTGAGGAAATAACTGACTTTTTTCCACTGGATCGATAACAATAAATTTAAAACATACTCTCTCCACAAAAAATGCCATGTCCTACTACCCTTGCGGAGGATTAGTGTTCAAGCAGAAAAAAAGAGAATAATTTTTTCCATCTGAGAAATAGAGCTCAAGCTGGGTGTGGTGGTACGTGCCTGAAATCCCAGCACTTGGGAGGCTGAGGCAGAAGGCTCACCACCTCAAGTTCAAGGCCAGCCATAGGAGGACCCTGTCTCCACAAAAGGGAAAATAGACCTCAGAATTATTGATGTCTTCTGGTGAAAACTGGAATATGGCTGGTGACGGTGGCACGGATTCATGTGTGGTACCGTGTGTTCTGTTTCTGTAGAACACTTGCGGTGTGCCTGGCGCTGTTGAGAGTGCCTTACTGGGTGTGCTCCAGTTTACCCAGAGACGGCAGAAAACAGCACCCTGGGGCTGCGGCCTGGGCTCTTCGTCCCGTGTTCGGCTTGTTTGTGCGGGCCCTGTCCTCACTGATCAGGCTGGCACGAGCCCCTGCCTGGATGTTCGTGCTTTCCTTTCAGAATGTGTGAGGAGTGGGTGTGAGGCGCTCAGGGGCTTGGACCCACCTGGCTTGTGGTCAGAACTGCCAAGTGTCCCCGGGAAAGTAGGCGTTCAGGGGACGAGTGCACATTCCTGTCGCACGGCCCGTTTCCCGTCCCTGGGTCCCTGGCGTACGGTGCTCTCTGACGCTCTGTCCCTGCCTTTGCAGCATGCTCGAGGACGACCTGCAGCTCAGTGACAGTGAGGACAGCGACTGCGAGCAAGTAAGCTCCGCCCCCCGACACCCAAGGCTGTGGGGTCCGCCCGATTGCCGGAGCTGCTATCCTAACCTGTCTTTTGTTCTTTCCTGGTCCTTCTTCCCCTTACTGTGAATGCCCAGACCCCAGAGAAGCCTCCTTCCTCAGCTGCACCTCCAAGGTATGGTCTGGGGTTTCTCCCTGCTGCCCCCCAAGCCCGCGGGTCTTTGCCACATGGGGAAGAAGCCTTCCGTGAATGCTTTCACGGCTCCGGTGAGGGAAGGAGCGCAGGCTCGCAGTGACGGGAGAACAGCGCAGCCGCATGCGTCCTACGTTAGCGCAGGCAGCCACGGCGTACAGGGAAAGCGCCCTCGCCCCGCCCCCCCCCGCCCCCACAGCACCATCTGAGAATTTAAAAACTAAAGCGCACTTACCGGGCGTGGTGGCGCCTGTAATCCCAGCACTTGGGAAGCTGAGGCAGGAGGATCGCTGTGCGTTTGAGACCAGCCTGGGCTACAAAGTAAGCTCAAGGCCAGCCTGAACTACTACATAGTGAGACTCTGTCTCAAAAAGACAAAATCACACACACACACACACACACACACACACACACAGAGTTGTCCTCACTGCTCTATAACCAGCGTTTGAAAAGTCAGGCACAAGAGCCCAATGTTTCTTTAAAACTGTTGTCAAAAGTTTATAAACCTGAATTTCTTGGTAGAACTTATTTTCTGCTGTACTGGTTTTCTTAGTTATATGAATTTTCAAATTGTTTCAGCAGATTTAAAATATGGCCTGCAGGAGCTGGGGATTTAGCTCAGTGGCAAAAGCGCCTGCCTGGCAAGCGCAAGGTCGTGAGTTCGGTTCCCTGTACCGGAGAAAAACCAAAAAAAAAAAACAATAAAATATGGCCTGCAGCTGGGCGTGGTGGTGCATGCCTTTAATTCTAGCACTCTGGGAGGCTGAGACAGGAGGAGTGTCTTGAGTTTGAGGCCAGCCTGGGCTACAAAGTGAGTTCAGAGCCACCCTGAACTGCATAGTGAGATCCTGTCTCAAAAAGACCAAAAGAAAACAACAGAAAAATGGCCTGCAGTTAATTTTAATGTACAAGAAAGTGACACTGTTCTCACATTTTTGAAAAACCAGCCATATTTTAGAAAATGTGATGCTTTAAAAGTTTTGAAAATGGGGATGATCTGCTATTTCCTTGTGATAAACTTAATGATGTAACATGACTAATACCTGCCTTCCGTGGCTGAAGAGTCAAGTTACTCTGCTCCTCTGAGATGGGCTCATGCATTCCAAGTTAACCCTGGCCACCACTAGATGATGTAGGGAGGGTGCACCACGCAGGCCCAGTCTTACAGTTCTGTAACGTTTGCAGTTTGTTTAGTCCCAGTTTGTTAGAATTTCTAATAGGTCATGTCAGCTCATAAAATATGGCAAATTAGTCCAATTTAAAAGTAAAGGAAGCCAGGCGTGGTGGTGCACGCCTGTAATTCCAGCACTCAGGAGGCTGAGGCAGGAGAATCTCTGCAAATTTGAGGCCGGCCTGGGCTATAAATTGAGCTCAAGGCCAGCCTCAACTGCATAAGAGACCCTGTCTCAAAAAAACAAAAAAAAAAGTTACAGGAAAAACTGGGTGTGGTGGCACACGCCTATAATCCCAGCACTCAGGAGGGTAGCCGTGAGTTCAAGGCCAGTCTGGGCTATGTAGTGAGTTCAAGGGCAGCCTAAACTACTGCATATTGAGGCTCTGTCTCAAAAGCAAAAGAAAAAAAGTAGAGAAAAAGGATAGACAAACCAAGCACAGAGATAAATTGGAGGCAGGAAAGTGTCCACTTCTGACACCCTGACTCAAGCGCTGCAGTGTCTGTGGTCACAGAGTTGACGCCACGTATTATACATGGACCCTGGACAATAATACTGTGTTTGTCCTAAGATTACCTCTCTGAATGACTTTTATATGGTATTTACTGATTATAGTTAATGCCAGGCGTGGTGGTGCATGCTTATAATCTCAACATTCAGGAGCCTGAGGCAGGAGGATCACTGCTAGTTTGAGGCCAGCCTAGGCTACGTAGTAAGTTCAAAGCCAGCCTGAATTACATAGCAAGACCCTGTCTCAAAAAAAATTTCTTTTTGTTTTTGCTGCTTTAGCTAATGGCATCCAAGACAGGGTTTTATGATTGTTTTGTAGTTCTCTTTTTTTTTGGTTTTTCTCCGGTACCGGGACTTGAACTCACAACCTTGCGCTTGCCAGGCAGGTGCTGTGCCACTGAGCTAAATCCCCAGCCCCTGTTTTGTAATTCTCTGTGTGTCTAGCGGTGATCATCAATATGCTTTCTTGCAGACCTGGAGTTCCTGGCCTGTTCTTAAAACCTAGCGTAGTCATAATTCCACTCAATAGGAAAAGATGGGCGGTTTCTTAGCTCACCCTCCGCAGGCACAATGTGTATAGTCAGCGGTGTTCCCATGTGGTTAGTTCTCAGGTGGGAGTGTAGGGAGACACCCTCATTGTTTTTTCTTTTGTGTATATATGGTAGGGGCCGGCAGTTTTAACGGCCAGGCAGTAAATATGCTGGCTTTTGTGGCCCACAAAGGCCTCTCGTAGCCATTCAGTGGTGCTCCCGGGAACCCTGCAAAGGTGGGTGTGGGTGTTGCTCCAATGAAATCTTATATAGAAAAACAGGCCCCTTGCCCAGGCGCTGGGTAGCGCAGTCCCGCGTGGCTTGTGTACACCTGACATGGGTTCCAGAAGCCACATCCCGCAGGCGTCGCTGGTAAGCAGTCAGCGATTGCTGTGAGGGCTTTTGCTGCTGATTAGGCCTCCGTGGGCCCCTCTCCCCGGCTGCTGAGGCGCTGCTGAGGCCCTTGCTTTTGAGGGGCAGAGGAAAGCGAGTGAGGAGGGCAGGCGTCGCCTTGTACTGCGGCGTCTCATTTTCCCCTTGGGTGTTTTGCAGCGCTGCGCCCTCGCTGCCGGAGCCGGTGGCCTCAGCACATTCCAGCAGCGCAGACTCCGAGAGCACCAGTGACTCCGACAGCTCCTCCGACTCAGAGAGCGAGAGCAGCTCGAGTGACAGTGAGGATAACGAGCCCCGGGACACCCCAGCTGCAGAGGTACCGTGTCCCCAGTGAGCCCCACACCTGGCACTGTGCCCGCAGGTGCCGCGTCTGCTTCTGTGCCTTGTGTTTACTTCTCGCCGGCCCCTTCGCCCTGGTTCAAGTGAAAGCCCTTGTCCGACCCTGCTAGTGCTCCATGGAAGAGCAGCTCGAGAGTGTTTGCACACTGTTCTCTTTCCCCTTCTTTTGAAAAAGCAAACTTGTTTCCATAGGCTGCCCTTTCAGTATTTATGAGAATGCGCTTTGAAACTGCAGGAACGCATGAACTAAGGACAACAGAGGAGATCCCCTGACTTAGCAGTCGCAGCACATGACCTAGCAGATGCCGTCAGGAATTCTAGTTTTTTTTTATTTTTTTGAGACAGGGTCTCACTATGCAGTTCAGGCTGGCCTTGTACCCTTTTTGTAGCCCAGGCTGGCCTCAAACTCACAGCGATCCTCCTGCCCCAGCCTCCCGAGTGCTGTGATTACAGGCATGGGCCACCACACCTGGCAGGAATTCTAGTTTTGAATCCCTCAAAGCCAAGCGTTAAATTGATGGCAAAGTGATTTTTTTTCCAGGGCACTGTCCTTGCTTCCTTCTGCCCGTGGAAAACCAGGGTGGCCGTGTTTGCTTTCATCCCTTGGGAGACTGCAGAGAGGGCCTTCCAGCAGGCTGAGTTCTGTCGGGATGGGCACCCCAGGGAGACGGAGCTTCCTGAGCGCTGAGTTCCCGGACAGTCAGGCTGTGCACACTGCCACACACCTCAGAGCTCATGTACGAGTGAGAGACTGCAGGGACGGCGCTGCAAGGCACTGGCAACGTTGGGTTCTCAGTGAGCAGGGCCGGTCCCTGCAGAGAGAACCAGCTGAGCGTGCAGGAGCTGGCCCGGAAGTGAGGCTTTCTGAGCAGGCAGCAGTAAGGTTTCCTGTGTCCCTCTGTGCAGAAAGAAGGCAGACTCGCCTGGAGGTCCTGACGTGAGGCAGAAGCCCCTGAGGCCGGGGGAGGCCGAGAGCAGCTGGTGTGGCTTGGGGTTCGCTGGGCTGTGTTAGGGAGAATCAGCGCCCGGCATTGTTCAGAGCTCATGGGCCTGGGTCAGCAGGAGCCGCACCCAAGTACTTTTCAGTCTGCAGGCTGCCCCATCTTCCTGAGACTTCATCTCCTTGTGTGATATAATCGCTACTGAAAGAATTTTTCTCTGCCTCAGGGGGAATAGCATGGGGAATGTGCTCTGCAGACAAGTTGTGTGACGTTCACTTGTAGGTTTATGAGAGCTTTGCCTTGTTTTACTTTTTTCAGCTGGGTATATAGCTCAGTGGCACAAGTGCCTGCCTGGCAAGCACAAGGTCCTGAGTTCGATTTCTAGTACAAAAAAAAAAAACAAAACTTTTTTCAGTAAGAAAAATCTGCATGCTTATTAGTATTGATATAAAAAGGTAATTCAGCTAATAATACAATTCAAGTAAAATCAGAATGATACAAATTAGGCAGAATAATTGAAAATGGAAATCCGACCTGCTGCTTTAGTAAAGAGACCTAGTTATGTCCCCTCACTCAGGAAATTACTAGAATAGATTCAGACTTCCTGAGTATGAAATAAAGCTCCCATGGTACTTCATTTTTTAAACTCTGTCTTTTCTAAAAAAGTTGGGATTTGAATGTATATGCTGATGTGGAAATCCAGGCTTGTGGAGGAAGGTTCCTGTTTTCCATACTGGACTTTCCAGGAATATTTTCTTTGTTTACCTTCAAGGTTCCCTAGGGTATGTTTTGTTTTTGTTTTGGTTTGGTTTGGTTTTTTTGTACCAGGAATTGAACTCAGAACCTTGCACTTGCCAGACAAGTGCTTGTACCACTGAGCTCTATCCCCAGCCCTTGCCTAAGGGACTTAATGAGTTTTCTTCCCTTTTGAAATACCTTCCTATGTTTATAAAGGGTAATACTAATTTCATAGTGAGCCTCAGATACTAATTCCGACTTTCTCACCCATTTCTGTCTTCAGTGCTGAGTGGTGGCTTTCTGGGGCTGCGCTTTAATTCATTTTGTTGGCTGTAGTCGGCCCGGGCTGTCAGAGGCCTGAACATAGTACATTCTGGCCTCTGGGCCGCTGCCGAGCCCGGGAGAGCCCCGTGGATTCCGTTTCCATGTCTGCGCTCTACTGTGGATCAAAATGTCACTCAGCTTTTCAAAATATGTGGAACACATGGCCTTTCTGCTGCCTAAACGTTCAGGAATATTCAGCACCAGGATTCATTCTAAAAGAAACTAACTTTTGCCAGCTGAAATGGTTAGGAGTCGTAAAGGGACATGTGGTCAAACACTTACCGAAACCCTTAGAAGATAATGATGCATCTGTGCCTGCCTCCGAGCTGCAGTACTTGGGTTGTGGCTGCTCTCGGAGGGCAGAGGGGACAGCTGGGAAGGCAGAGGGGGAGGTGACGAACCGGCCCTCAGTCCCATCCGGCACTTAGCTACTTGGGAATTGCCTTACAGTCTGTTTCTAGCCGGGCCCTTGTCCAGCCCGCCCCCCACCCCGCCTCAGAACCCAGATGCATACTCTCCGGCCCTAGCGTTCACAGCTTCATGCTGGGTGTGCAGTAAGGCCCCTCCCGCACCCCCATCCAGCCCCCCCCAGCCCACTGTGACCCTGAAATTGGGCCAAAGCCTCCCTTCTGCACATTCCGGCCGCAGTGGAAGTGTTATTTCTGTAATCAGGACATTCCTTCAGGGACTGCTAAATGTGTCCCCGCACGGCCTATTCTAGGGGCACCGTGACCTAACCACGGCTGACTTTCCCTTCACACCTTGCTGCTCTTCAGAGGCGCGTGGCAGTGTTGGGCTGCAGCTGAGACCCAGGCCACCTTCCTGAGGGAGCTTGGGCAGGTTTGGCTCCTGGCAGGGACAGGTTCTGGGTCGCACATCCCCGCCTCGTCATTTTGCCTCCAGTGTCCCCACCGTGGGCTCTGTGGGAATGACAGACCTGCGGGCCCTGGGCCACCTCCACCCTTAGTAATCTCGTCCTGTAGGAGTATCGAGTGCAATTCAGATTTATGCGTGACAAAAGGCCTGGCAGAGAGTGGTTTTTTCCTGCTCCTCCCTCTGAATTCAAGAGGGCATGGGTGGAGGGTTGGTGTAAGTCCAGGAAACCGTAAGGGAGATATAACAGCAGGATGGAGTAAGCCAGAAGAGACTAGTGGTGCAGTTGCCTGTCCAAAGTATGATCCTACCCAGTTTCTTAACATTCCCTTTAGTTCTGTTCTGTTACAAACCCACTAAGCCCAAACTACCTACCTGATCATTTTACTACTTACTCTTTCACCAATCAAAAAAAAAAACCCTTTACATAATGTTTGCATATTTGGCATTATTAGGTCGGCATGTTTTTACACATTGGAATTACTTGGTGTATTTACTTAGGAAAATTGTCAGCAGTCTTCCCCCGAAAATCCACCCCCCGTGGGGCTGGGGTTGTAAACCATTGGTGGAGTGCTTGCTGGGCATGCCGGAGGCCCTGCAAGGAAATAAGGAAACAAGACTCTGCTTCTGGAGTGTCTCCTTCTCTGTAATCTAAGAGTTAAATCCTATACGACAGTGTCTCAGTTGTCTTCCGGCACTCCGTGTGTGTAATTTAGTCATTCATACAGACCTGCGCATGAGTTAGTCATTCATAAAAACCACCTGTCAGACTGGGTCTTGAGAAAAATGAAGCCAGACAGTGGCCCTTTAAAAAAAACCAACTGAAGTCACCACTCACTCAATTCGATGCTTGTGTTTTTCTCCGTGACACACAGTGCCCGGGCATCAAAGTGCCCGTGCATCTCTCTGCCACTGTACGCAAGAGCCCTAGAACCACGGCTGGGGCAGAGCCGTGTCTGTCCTTCTGTTTAGATGTCACAGCCCCACTAGGGGACAGGGCGACAACGTGCATTAGGAGTTAAGTTAGCAATAACTGTTCAGAAAACAGCAAAAGGGAACATAGGGACTTTTCTGGTTGGCCAAGCCAGTTGCACAGGTGACCAGCGTAATCACTGCTGTCCGCTGTGTGTTCTGGGACCTCCTTTTGTGTCTTAGCAACACCGGTGCTATTTCAGACCACGATGCCTGGAGCAAGAAACTTTTTTTTTTTTCCTTGAGACAGGGTCTGGCTTTGTAATGCAGGCCGGCCTTGAATTCACTATATAGCCCAGGCTGTCTGTGATCCTCCTGCTTCAGCCTCCCTGAGTGCTGGAATAGAGATGTGCCTCCATGCCCAGCTCATAGGGAGAAACTTAATGTCTGACTTTATAGAACCCAAGTGAGATTAATGCTTGTCTGTGTGACTTCGCTTGACTTTTTAATTTTTTTTTGGTACCGGGAATCGAACTCATGACCTCAGGCTTACCAGGCAAGTGCTTATGCCGCTGAGCTACATCCCTGGCCCATCGCTTGACTCAGTCAGGGGTAAAATGTGAAAATCAGTACATACTTCTGGCACACTGATAGTCTTGTCACATGTGAATGTTTTTAAGTAGAGAAATGAAATCATCTTGAAGAAAAGTCGTTTCCAATAGAAAAATGTGCCAGAGAAAGGATAAAGCATGGTGCTCAGGGATAACCGCTAAAAGGTCGTTCCCACATCCGCTGCCTTCTGAAAAGCCTTAGAGGCGCACGCCCACACACACACACACACACATACACACCCACCCACCTTTTGCAGCCCTGGGGACTGAACCCAGTGCCTTGTGCGTGTGAGGCAGGTGTGGACCACTGGGCCACACCCTGCTTGCCTCCTTTCCTTATTTTATTCTGAGACAGGGTCTCCATTTGTTGCCCAGACTGGCCTTGAACTTGTGATCCTCCTGCCCTAGTCTTGCAAGTAGCTGAGATTACAGACATGGGCTCCCAGCCCCACTGAATTCCCCTTTATTTTCTAACAGAGTCCTCCCCAGGTCAAAATGTATCAGTTCTGTTAACATCATACCATAATTTCCATCAGAAGCAAGGATTCTTCTCCTGGGGCTGGGGATTTAGCTCAGCGGCACAGCGCCTGCCTGGCAAGCGCAAGGTCGTGAGTTCGATTCCCAGTGTCGGCAAAAAAAACAAACAAAAAAAAGGATTCTTCTTCATAACTTTTACTAGTCTGTGTTTTACAGTACACAGTGAGTGGGGAGTTGGTGCGTGTACAGAATACATTTAATTCTCTTCCCTTCCGCGAGCGTTTTATTACAAGATTTCCCAGCAGTTGTCAGTGACCAGTTAGTATCTACCCTAGCAAAATCCCCAGAGCACAGAAAGGCGGGTTTCTGCGTTTGGAGAGTGGTTAGGCCGTCCTTCAGCTTGAGGAGGATGGACAGAGTCTGAAGCGAGGTCTGGAATGGTTACTTCTTCGGGGACAGACCTGTGTCACCGGGTGACATTACAGAAGAGGTGCTCGGCGCTGTTCAGCTAACGCGTCTTTCTGTTTCCTGATTTCAGCCTGAGCCTCCAACAACCAACAAATGGCAGCTGGACAACTGGCTGAGCAAGGTGGTCCAGCCGGCCCCGGCGCCCGAGGGCCCAGGCGGAGCAGAGTCTGCGCGCCTCAGGGCTCAGCAGGGCCCGGATGACGGCGACATCAGGGCCACCAGCACTACAGGCCAGACACCTGCCGAGCCCAGAGCCCCGCCCCTGAAGAGCTGCAGCCGGGCGCCCCGGGGCCCCGCCGAGGCCCCCCACGCCAGCAGGAGAGGCAGTCACAAGTCCCCAGCGCAGCAGGAACTGCCACCCCGGCAGACCGTGGGGACCAAGCACCCCAGGAGGCCCGCCAAGGCCTCGGCCCCAGCCACCGCAGCAGACACAAGGGCCAGCTCACAGGGGGACAGGGAGCCGGGCCCTGTCCTCCAGAGCCTGAAGGACCCAACCTGCAAAGACAAGCCCAGGGTGAAGACGAAGGGCAGGCCGCGTGCTGGAAGCAGCAGGGAGCCGGGGCCCACACCTCCAGCTCCCAGGGACAAGCAGCAACCAGGGAGCTGCGCTCCGGCGCCCACCAATGACAGCGCAGGGGCCCCCAGCCCTGAGCCCTTTGCGATCGTCCCCCTGGCGCAGGTTCAGGCCCCCGCCCAGGGCGGCGGCAGGACTAGTGGCTGCCGGCAGGCTGTGGTGGTCCAGGAGGACAGCCACAAGGACACGCTGCCCCTGCCCCTGAGGAACCCCAGGGCGCTCTTGCCACTTAGGGACACGCCTGTCCCCCACAGCCTGGTGGTGAAGATAGCCCTCAACCTCATCGGCAGGGTGCCCCGGCCGCCCGGAAAGGGAGGCCGCCCCCAGAAGCCAGAGGAGAAGCCCCCATCTGCAGGGAAGAGGCAGGAGCCGGAGAAGAGGAGCTCAGACAATCCTGGCAAGGCGGCCCGGAAGAGGAAGGTGGGTGCGGCGTCCCCGCGGGTGGGGCCCCAGCTCTGCGCTTTGCTCCATCCGGGGAGCCCTCTGTGCCCTTCCCTGTCCCCAAGCACGTGTCGGGTTTCTGTTGTGCGTGGAGGGCACTGGTGGTGTAATGCGGTGTTTTGAGGTGGTTTTTCCGAGTGCGCCTTTGTGTTCTACTGTAGAGCTACGCCCGCTGCCCCGGGGGCGCACTGCTGTGTGGAAGATGACACTGTTTACACCATCCGGTCCGTTGGGTTTGCCCGCAGATTAAGCTCTTACATGAAGTGAAATGTTTTCCTATTCAGAATTACTGGAAGAACTGCTGTGTGTGGATTTTATTCCTAGAGTATGTGCTCGTGTGTTTTGTGGTAGTTTTTTCTGGTTTTTTTTGGTGGCACTGTGATTTGAACCCAGAGCCTCGTGTGTGCCAGGCAAGCATTTTACCACCAAGTTCCAGCCACTTTTTAAGGTTGATTTTGAGACGGTCTCTGTTTAACCCGCCTAGGCCTGAACTGACAGTCAGTCCTCCTGCTGAGGGGGACTGTTGGGTCTGATTCTTCCTGAGTTTCATCGATGGATTGGTCATAGTTGTTCGGTTTTTTTTTTTGTTTTTTTTTATAAAAAGGGAAAATCCCTGCATCCTTTAAAGCGCTGTGTGACTTAGGTAAATCAGTGTTTTGTAGACTCTCCTTACCTTTATTCTGCATCGCTGAATCCTGGGTCCGTTTCCGCCTCTTCACGGGGATGAGAGATCTGTGTCCACCAGTGGCTTCCTTTCCTGGGCTGCCCCGTCCAGCATTCCGAGTCAGAGGCCTGAGGGGCCAGTTCTCTCCTGCGTGGACGGGACGGCGCTTTAGACGCCTACGTACGTGCACGGGAAACATCACACTCAGCTGTGGGAGCTGGCTCAGAATAACAGGCGAGATAGTCATGGGGCTGCTGTCACGTCTGAGACCAGCTGCCTAATCCGCTGGATAAAAATATCGCACAGCTTTAGCACACGGGCCCTCCCGAACACTGCCTCGGGAGACAGGAGGCTGCGTGGCCCCCGACGGCGCGTTCCGGGGACAGTGAGTGGGCTGGCGCGGAGCTCACAGCGGTGCTTTTCCAGCAGCAAGAGCGCATAGTTGACACCAGAGAATTTTTAAAGCTTTAGAATGTGGGCTGGGTGTGTGTGTGTAAAGTGTAGAACTTTTACGGAGGAAATGGTGATGAGCCTGGTTGGTACAAAGGGCCCTCGGGACCTCACGTGCACCCATCCTTCCGGGAGGCCTCTTACCCCCGCGTGTGTGGGCTCCACGGAGTCGGCCGTTCACTTCCGGCCGCAGACTTCCAGGAAACACCCCCCAGGACCGGGAGGAGCCTCAGGGATCCCGCCCAGCCGGGCCCAGCGCGAGTGCACGGGCACTGAAGGGGAGCTTCGCTCTGCTTTTCTCCTGGGAACTGCGCCCCCAGAAGCCCTGGGGAACGAGGGTGGGACCTGCGTTCTTCCATTTTGAGCGAGGGGAGGTTATAATAGTCCCCCTGTCTTTAGGCCTGTGATTTTTTTTTTTTTGCAGTACTGAGGGTTGAACGCAGGGCTTTCACACTAAGCTACATCCACAGCCCTTTAAAAAAATTGTTTTAGGAGAAAATTTTGATGTAGGGTCTCACTGAATTGCCTGGCTGGGCTGGGTTGGACTGGGCTGGAACTTCGATCCTCCTGCCTCAGCTTCTCAGAGTGCTGGGATGTAGGCCTGCATCACCATGCCCAGTTAATATTTCACTGAAGCTCTGACAAGCAGCCGGGGGATCTGGCCCACGACAGGCTGCCTCTCGGAGGGGCAGAGGCGGTGCAGGTTCCAGACCCTGGGTGGCTTACAGTCACGAGGGTGAGGTACTAGCCCCAGAGCCATGCCCCGCCCCGCCCCGCCCCCAGGGGCAGCTTTGAAAAGCCTTCAGTGATCCCAGAGCCTCCAGGCGGGGAACCCTCAGGCTGAGCCTTACTACAGCACCCAGACCTTGCCGAGCTACAGCTCTGGCTGGAGAGGCCCTGGGTGCTGCGTCCTCACAGCTGGGCGCAGGCCGCCAGGCTTTTTGCCTGGAGTTCGTTGTGCACGACCTTGCTCAGGCGCTCTCAGATGAGCGAGCTCATACAGCAGCCTGTGGTGCGCTCTGCACCCTGGAGAACCCCTCAGCCTGTGGTTTTCCTTCCTCATGGCCCCCAGGCAGTGTTCCCAGAGCACCTGCGAATTGTGAAAAGTCACAGATTTCAGATTTGCTCAGAAAAAGGCCTATTTTTTGTAGTTTAAACCCTAAATATGCTACGTCTCCCGCAGTTACATAATTTAATTTAATAAAATACTGTATTAATAAAGACTTAGAAGGTGCAGGGGATTCTGGTGGCATCTTAGGGATCCTAGGGCTTTAAGAAGAACTAACTGCAGAACACTGAAGAGAGATATACATGGTATAGAAACCTGTTATGAAGCAGGAACTGCTGGTGCATCTGCGTACGGTGGGTTACAGGGCAGCAGCCAATCAGCAGCAAGGAGAACTGGATAACGCTCTCGGATTGGCTACTTGCAAACCTCCCGCCAGAAAAACAATTGCGGAGGATATTGGTGGTTTCTGCAAAATTGCTGAGGTTTCCGTGAACAATTATTAGTTAGGTTTTAAGGGAAAATCTGTGAATGAATGAGGCAGCAGACGGATCTGTAGCTTCACAGAGGTGTACGCATTTTTAAATTTTGAGACAGGGTCTTGCTGAGTTGTGCGTGTGGGGTTTGTATTTGCAGGCCCCCGGGGTGCTGGGGTTACAAGTGTGTACCACCACACCCATCTCTTTGTGTAAGTTTTAAAGTTAAGAGTCACGGTAAGTACACAATCAGGCAGTGCAGTGGGAGCGTGGCAGGGTGCTCGAACCCGGTGGCACGCAGGACTCTTCCTGGACTCCCCCTCCTTCTGCCCCCTGACGGTCCCTTTCACAGGAATGGGTAACCTGCCCTAACGGCCACAGGCAGTAGTGCAAGGGAGTGCATTTGTAGTGTCTTTCTAAAGGATTGCTATACTAAGATATTCCCAAGATACTTTCTGAAAAACACTTTTTGTGCCGTGGGTGGGTGGGGTAGAAGTGAGTTTGTGTATGTCAGGAAAAGCTGTGTTTTTATTCCTTGGGGTGGTTGGTTCCCTCTACCTTTTCCCTAGAGGATCCAGGTACCTTTTCTTGAGCTGTTTCTCCAGATCAGCATCCGCAGGTTTGGTCTTTAGAAGCACAGGTTGGAAGACTCATCCCTTCCCCCTTCCTAGAGCTGCTCAGCCTTGGATTCTCGGCGCCTGTCCTTTGCTGTAGGAGAGCACTCGCCGTGTGCAGCGCGGCGGAGGCTGCCATCCAGGGCCTTGTGGACGCCCTTGGCCACAGCGATTTTCCTTCCCTAGTGCTCCTTCTGGCCAGCATGACTGGGCCTCCTTCAGGAAATGGCCTGGACTTCCCCAAGCATCCCACACGTCTCCACTTTCCTGGTGCTGCGTGGTGCTGGGCTCACGTGCTTCCCAGTGGGAGGGTGCCGGGCTCTGCCCGAGCCCTGAGGAGCCTGGGCTGTCCGCCTCTCACGGACGGGTCCCTGTGGGCACCGATGCTCGGGCCCTGCGTGCAGCAGCGCCAGGGCCCGGCTGCGTGCCATCCCACCTGGCCGGTGACTCCTCCCCTCTTCCACACGCGTGTCCCTGCACGTGTGCTGGGAGGCGAGAGAGGCCCAGGGTCAGATCTGCTGCTTACAGTTAACAGGGTGGTCACGCTGGCATCCCTGGCTCCGCTCCCGATGCCCCCCCATCTCGGGTTTTGAGATGCTCCGTGTTCCCCCATGCCAGCTACGCTCCCAGGAGGCCGCGTCCCACAGCCCTCTGCCAGTTAGAAATACTGTCCGTTCTGGGAAGGGCCGTGTCCCTTTCCCTGCTGCCAACAAGTGCCTACGTGCCGAGCCAGGTTGCAGGCGGGTGGGTGCTGGTGCCCTGGAGGCGGCCCTGCAGCTCTGTAGGTGGGGCAGCCCTGGCTGATCACCAGGCTGCCTGCCCCGACAGGTCAAGGAAAGCAAACAAGTGAATTAGAAGCCAGCCAGCGGCTGCCCCACCCGTATGCAAAGGGAATTCCTAAATCCCAGACGTTTGAGCAGAGCCCCTGAAGTGGGGGTGATATGGGGTGAGCGCCCAGGCAGGGGACTCCTTTGCATGTCCCCAAGGAGAGTGCACCACTGTGTGCACCGCTGAACGCCCCCGGGCCGCCCCCTTCAGCAGGGCTCGGGACTTGGGCCTCAGTTTCTGCTGCCTGCGGCTGCACAGTCCCTCCCCCAGTGTGTGCTCTCGAGCTTGTGACACAGCCCTGCTTCTGGGGGCCTCGGCCGTGTCCCCCGGGTGTGAGGCTCCCTTCTCATGCCAACCGAGGAACGCCAAGAGATGCCCGGACACCTGGGGTGGGGACAGGACTGAGCCCCACACGTCGCGCAGGTGCCCAGGGCTGTGCCGCCTGCAGCCGGCAGTGAACCCCGTAGGAGGGATGTTTAACTGAACGGCTTCCTTTTTAGCACCTTATTGAATGCTGTTAGCTTCTGAGCGGCCAGGTAGCCGTAGAAAGCGTGTTAATCCAGTGAGCTGCTGAACGCGAACATTGTTAACGGCTGGTGTTGAAGGTAGAGTCTGGCGATGACTGGTTTCCAGGCCCCGGTTGGCACAAGGCAGCGTTCCGGCCCGTGTGTGTGAGGCCTGACTCCCTGCGACTCACTTTCACGTGTGCTTTGTATGGGCTGCGGCTTTGGTCTAAGTTGTAGCCAGCATGCAAACTCAAACAGCCGTTACTCCCAGTTCGCCTCCGGGCTGTAGTGTTCTTTCGAAGGTGTCACGTGGTGGGTGGCGTATGTTCAGCCATGTCTTGGGGACCTCTGTGTGTGCTTAAGTGAGCTCACAGCCGCGTACACATTTTAGCGCATTCTGTTTCCCAGGGGTAAACGCCCCATCTTTCTGTAACGTTTCCTGGGCCAGCCCTGCAGTCTTCAAGATTCCAGAGATTCCCTGGCCCCTTTCTGGACAGGGTGCCGGCGCAGGCGGGGCCTCCCTCTCCTCAGGTGCTCTGCGCCCGGCAGGCTTCCTGTGACCCCGCACCCCCGTAACGATTCTTTCTCGCTGCCATGGTGGCCCTCTGCCGGACCCCCTGGCCCTGCACAGCCCTGCCCCGAGGCCCTGGCAGCTTCTCCTCTTCTCCTGGAGTGTGCTGGGCCTTTCACTTCTGGATCTCCCCCGGAACTGTGCTGCCAGCCAGCTGGCGGCATTTCAGGGGTGAGCTAGGACTTGGAGTCCTCTGAGACGGCTGCCCCAGCCTCCCAGAGGGCTTGGTTACATCGCTGAGTCCCTGATCGGTTTTCTGCTCATCCACACTGGTGTGTAATTGCTTCTTTGAGCTGATTGATTGGGAAGAGCCCAGTTTGCAGATAATGTTAGCAAGGTGTGCAGAACGGTGCTGCCCGTGGAAATACAGCGTGCGCCACACGTTTCCAGGAGCCGCATGTGCAAACCAGTGGCGGTAATCCTGCTGACTTTGAATCTCGTCTCAAATACCACGTAAACATTCAGTCAGTATGAAAACCACTGTATTCTCCTTTTGCCATGACACTCTCTGCAAATCCCTTCTCTGCAGTAGCTGGACCCAGTGCTGCCTGGATGCCCACCCGGCCCACGCCCCCACGGCCGGGGCTCTCCTGCAGCCTCACCCCTCACCTTTCTCGTGTCTGCGCATGGAAGGTGAAGCAGGCGCCTCTGGGAGCCCCTGAACAAATCTGCTTTGAAGCAGTACCGCACATGCATAAACAAAAGTGTTTTGCTGTCTCCCATGCTTCCGAGCAGGGCTGGGTTGTTCACTAGAATCTGGGCAGACCTTGAGCCAATCCATCTCTGTTTCCTCATATCCCTGGGAGAAACTCTGGGGAAGAGGAAGAAAGACACCGTGATGAAAACCGGGATCTCCCACGGACAGCAAATTTGAAGACCGCCTTTCTCCCTCACGGCTTCAGAGGCTGGGGGTGACCGGGGTCGTCCTGGACTGACTGGCAGGGTCCCAGGTTTCTAACTGTGGGAATGCACAGTCGGGGAGCCCACTGCAGGCCCCCACTCTTCATTGCCACCAGCTCAGAAGGGGCTCTTTCCTGAACCGGGCAGTACCAAGTGTCTCTAACAGGACTGGGCCAAGTCCCGCGGCCAGACCTCAGTGACATGTGACGACGTGGAAGTGGCTTCTGCCACGAGGACCACTTTGTTCTCTCAGCGATGACATATACAGTGGAGCTGGGTTCACAGACTTAATTCTTTCCACAGTTCTGGTCATGGAATTCATTCCACAATTCTGGCAGCAACCGCAGTTATGCAGAGAATTAAGTTTGTGAACCAAGTATTTGTGTAGCACTTTAGTTGTAAAGTAAATGCGTTGCTTAAGTCCTATAGATTCCTCTCCTTACCCCCACTAAAATCATATTTTGAGAATACGAGCACACAGGTCCATTTCTTTTCAGTAATACCCTTACTTTCACTAGAAAGGAGGAGGGTTTAAGTACGCCGGTCTGGACTTCACACAGGCGGTGAGTGAGTGGACGTAGGTGCCGGGTGCTTTGGGAAGCAGTGGGGACGTAGCTCACTGTGAATGTGTATGTTGTGTTGGCTGCTGGGGGCCGGAGACGTGCGCCTAGATTACTGATTCTCGATATTCAGACAAACACATAGGGCTGGTGATTTAGCTCAGCAGCACAGCGCCTGCCTGGCAAGCACGAGGTCGTGAGTTCAATTCCCAGTACCGGAAAAAAAAAAAAAAACAAAAAAATGTTACCAGACAAACACGTAGGTGCTTCCAGTTCATTTACTCTTGCGGTGAGCTGTTACCTTAGACATTCTCTCCTTTCAGGTTACGAGGGTTCGTCCTTTTGCACAAACCTCTGTCTCAGTCCCAGCAGCGTGGACTTTAGGTTGTCCTCCGAGAGCTCACAAGGCCACTGCACGTGGGCGGGTATCACGGGAGGCCGATCGCTCCCTGAGCCTTCCCTGCCGACCCCGTTCGTGTGTACGTTGGTGTTCCTAACGCTGCACCTTGCTTGCTCTACCACAATGACAGGGAGAAGCAGAGAGAGACTCCGATAATAAGAGAATCAGACTAGAGAAAGAAGTCAAGCCACAGCCCTCTTTGTCTTCGTCCTCCCACAAAGAATCTTCTAGAACAAAGTGAGTATGGCCATTGGGCACAGCGCAGAGGGGTTCCGAGTCTTCTTGGGTCCTGGCAGGGCAGAATCAGCGATGGACGGGCCCGCTCGGCCTCCTGAGACCGGAGTGTGAAGTGTCCTGTGTTCCCGGCACGCTGGAGCACCCCCGGGACCCACAGCTCATTAGCAGCAAGCTTAGGTTTCCCAGAAGGCGTTCACGCAGGGGAGTTTCCTGCACATCGGCAGTTGTGTAAGAAAAGCACTGTCGTCGTCCCGTCATTGCAGAATGGGAAATGGTCGCCCGGAGGGGGAAAAGGGCCAGCCGAGGAGACAGGGTCCGCGCTGCCCTTCAGCTAGGAGAAGCCTGGGCCCTGCGGCCGGGGTCCGCGCTGGCCAGCAAGCATGGCGTTCACAGGGGGCGTCATTCGGAAGGAACTGTTGTCGCTTTCGATTTATTCAAGCACTGTCTTCACATGTGGCGGCCTAAGCTGCCCTGCTGTGGGAGCCGCGGAAGGGGGCCGGGGTTGCATGAGGCAGAGTCCAGGAGCAGCTGAGGGGGGAGACAGGGCCCGTCTGGGAAGGTCGGGCCTTCGGTAGGACCGCGGCTGCGTTGTTCCCGGTGAATGGGGCCGGAGGATTCCCAGGCGTCCTGCACTTCCGCTCACTGTGGCCTCGCAGCCTCTCCTCCAGCCGGGGTTTTGTCCTTTATAACTGAGTGGTTTCATTTCTGTTCCGCCTCAACTTACCTTTGTCTCATGTTTCACCCCAGGACGCACAAGCCCTCCTCAGAGCCCTCGAAAAAGGAAATGCTTCCCCCTCCACCTGTGTCCTCCTCCTCCACGTCCTCCTCCTCTTCGTCGTCGTCCTCCTCCTCGTCCTCGTCCTCCCAGAAACCAGCCAAGTTCGCACACAAGCGGTCACGGCGGGAAGCAGACCTCTGCCAGGACCCTCCCCAAAGTGCCAGCGCTCCCAGGAGCAGCCATAGAGACCCCTCCGTTCCCAAGCGCAGGAAAGCCCAGGGCACGAGCTCAGGAAGCTCCTCGGAGCACAGAGTACGTGGGAAGCAGGGGTCCTTGAGCGGGAGTGGCGTAGTTCGTCCCTGAGTCCCTGGCTGAGCGAGGTCCTGGCCACAGTGCTCCGGAGCTGTGGGGCTGTTACCTGGCAGCGGTAACAAGTTGTGTTTAAAAGCTGTGCTTCTTGGAGGAGAATAGAGGGTAGCATTACCCCGATATTTAGGGGTCAGTTCGTTCCTGTAAAATAATGATTCTGCGTGAAGAAAATCAGACTAGATTGTTACACTAATCTTTTTGCAGAAAGAAGTGGTTAGCCCAGAGAGTTTGTCTCTGAGTATTTGAAACCAGATATTTTAATTGTTTGCTCCAATGGAGAAAAATAACCAGTTTCTCAGATAAATCAGATGTCCTCTCTTCTGTGAACGTGCGTGTAGGAGTGCTGCGGGGGTGCTGTGAGCGGCCTGTGCCCTCCGGCTTTCTGAGCTCACCGGACAGCCCCCGCTGCAGTTCAGTTATGTCCGTGGTGGGAAGGTCCGGGACCAAGCTGCTGTGCCGTGTCTGGTTCACTCCTGTTTGGCACAGTTCGGGGCTGCTTAAGAGAGACATTACTCCTAAGACAGTGATCTTGAGCTGGGCGTGGTGGTGCACCTCTGTAATGCCTGCACTCGGGAGGCTGAGGCAGGAGGATCATTACGAGTTGGAGGCCAGCCTGGGCTACAAAGTGAGCTAGAGGCCAGCCTGCACTGCATAGTGAAAACGTGTCTCAAAAAGCCAAAAAAAAAGACTGATCTGTGTATGTTTTTTAACAGGGATCTGGTGATACTGCAAATCCCTTTCCAGTGCCTTCTTTGCCAAATGGTAACTCAAAGCCAGGGAAGCCTCCAGCGAAGTGTGACAAGTAAGGGTTCCGGAGGGACTCTCGCTGCCGATTCTGCCTCCCCTCCTCCCTCCCGCGCTCGCCTGCCTTCCTGGTCTTCCCGGTTGCCTGGCCTGTCATTTCCGGTTCCTAGGACCCACCTTTCCATCTTTCTCTTTTTCAGACAGCAAGCTGATTTTCACATGAAGGAGGCCAAAAAGTTGAAGTGCAAAGCAGAGTCCATGGTGAGTCTTGGCTTTTTATTCCTGGGGTAGAACATTTTCTGATTTAAAAAGTCGTCATCATCTGCCATCTGTGATATTCTGTGTCATCAAAATGTGTGTCCATGGGGTCTTGGGCTGGAGGGAGGAGGAGGACGATGAGGAGGAGGAGGACGAGGAGGAGGAGGAGGGCTGTGCTCTGCTACTGACTTCAAGCTGAGCAGCAGAATCAGGGCCGAGAGTGCTTTGGTGGAATTGCGTTCAGAGTCAGGGCTCCATTGAAGCAGTGTGCTCGTGGACCAATTTGTAAAAAGACTTCTATCAAAGCAGAAGTCGATGTATCTGGCTGTGGTTTAGTAGATACTGCCTCCTGTCTCACTGAACCAGCTCTTGGGATATGAAAAACAAGTCCTGCTCGTGACCGTTTGTGACCAGTCTGAAAAGTTTTATAAACTGCGGAAGTCTGTTTGCATCCCAGAATTATCTAAAGCCCGGGGTGCATGGCTCAATGAAGGGGGAGTTGCCGAGCCCCTTAGATGGCAGTTTCAGATGCTGGTACTGATGGCTGTGTTGGTAAACGTGCCTGCAGGTGTGGCCTCTGGTGACTTGCGGGCCTGTGGACTTTCTGGAAGGTGGAGGTTTGGGTTCGCTGCATATGTAATTAAATATGCTTTTCTATCACTGCTACAGTGTACTGAGAGAGTGTGCCTTTTGTCATGGGGAAGCACCTGAGGCCCTGGATTTTATTTATAGAGTGCGCCCCCCAGACCTAAGCCCCCGCGGGCGTGCACCCTCTCCTGGAGAGGTGTGTGCTGCTGCAGGAGAGAGCAGGGCTGCCAGGGCCAAGATCAGCAACGCCAGTGGTCGTAGGGCTCCTGCCCTAACGCAGCAGGGTCCTCTGCATCTGTTCTCTGACCCTCCAAGAGGAGATGTGCTGAGACCCGTTGGCAGCGCTCCATTCTTCAGGCAAACTATCCCAAGATTCTTTCCTACACCAGATGGTCCTGGGGAGCCCAGGGCTCCGAGACCTGCCCTCCGCCAGGGTCGCCTCCTTCCCACGCTCCAGCATCATTAGGAGCTGGGTGATTCTCAAGTTGCGGAAAGAGTGAAAGCTTAGCCCCATCAGCCGGTTGTCTACAGCTGACCTTGACACTGGTCCTTTTCAGTACTAGATTCCCCGTTATTCAAATAATTAAGATGGGTGTTCTAGGGAGTTACTTTTTGTTTTACTCTACAGAAAGGCACATCTCTCTCTCTGCATGAGGTACAAAACACCCCACTGTGTCAGAGCAGGCTGTTATGTCTGTTGGAGCCCAGTGTCATACATAATACATCCCATTTTGCTCTTAGAGCCTGCCAGTTTGGGCAGTACTCTGTAGGACCACACTGACCATTGCATAACGCCTCAGAGATGTTTGGCATTCCAAATAGCGACGCGCGTGGCTGAGTGTAGACGAGCATGTTTCATCCTTGTACTGCACTCACTGTTGAGTGTAGGAATGGAGCTCTACCATTTACACCAGTCCAAGGGACTGACTGGTTAACGCAGGGGTAATGCTTCCAGGCATTGCCATCCTTGCAAAATAATTAAAGAAGTGGATATTAACTAATTGCTGTAATACACTGTAGTTTTTTTGCTTCACCCCAACACCAATATTAATTTTGGAATAGCCGTGGAAGAAATGGTTTTGAATCAACAAATTTTGAGTACTAGATTTCCATCAGCAAAGCAAACCAGTCATGAATTGAGGCTTGCTTGAATATTTATTGGGTTTTTTGTTGTTGGTTTTTGTCTTGTTGAGACAAGGTCTTGCTGTGCAGTTCAGGCTGGCCCCAGCTCACTTTGTAGCCCGGGCTGGTCTGGAACTTGCAACAATCCTCCTGCCTCAGCCTCCTGAGTGCTGGGATCACAGGCGTGTGCCACCACGCCCGGATGCATAAATTTATTCTTTTGTTCGCTGATATTCTAAGCCTACACTATCTAGGAAAAATATTTTTTAAAATCACGTTGGGTCCCAAACGTAAAATCCTAGAGTAGCAATGTTGAGTATTCTGGAATATCTGTGTACACACACGTGTGCATGTGGCCAGCCTAACTTGTCGCCCTTCTGGGATGACACAGAGATGGCACGTGCCTGGGCAGTAGCTCCTTGGCCCCCACTCTGCCGGCCTGTGCCGCACGCATGGGCAGCAGCCCTGACCCCAGTCCTCCGCGGGGCGTCAGCGTCTGCCTCCCGCGGTCCGTCCCCAGCGGCGCTCTGCTCGTCCTCTTTGAACAATCCTTTGAGAGCAGTGGCCGGAGCTACTCACTTGCAGTATTAAAGTGCGGGATTTAGGCCGGATGCAGAGGAAGAGCCAGCCCGCATCTGCTGGGTTGGATTGGCTGTATGTCCCTTAGCGAAAAGAGGATTAGCGAAAGAACGAGTCGTGAGGTTAGGGTGGCCGCCAGTATCTGATTGCACTTTAAGGCGTAGTGAAATTCTGTCCCGGTTGCCTGAGGTCATAGCCTTGCACGCCCAACCAAGGCGCCAAAGGGGATTAATCTGTTGGACTGGACGGAGCATAGAAAGATGACTGTTAGATATTTTATCTAAGACGCTCAGAAACCATAATGAGTGTTTTCTGCTCACAAGATAAACCTCAGAACCAACAGAGACACTTGTGTTTGCACTGCCCTAGATGAGCAGCGTAATCTCGTGCTCAGGGAAGTTACATAACGGTCACGGGGCGCGGGTAGTGGGGCGTCAGTGTGTGTGGACTTTGGGAGGTATGAGAGAGGAGCCTTAATTCAGGACTGCGGTGTCCTAATGAGCTTTTGCTCTTTTAGTAGGTAATTGCCGGCAGGGACTGTTGCTTACCACTTTCAATTCGCTCGTTCTCATGTTTCTTCCGAAGCATGGTTGAGCTCAGACAGGGTGAAGTCCGCCTGGGCTGTGGGTGAGAGGCTGTAAAGACCAGGCTGCCTTGGCGTAACAGTGACTGTGTCTCCTACAGACGGACAAGGTGGGGAAGGCCTTCAAGTACTTGGACGCCGTCCTGTCCCTTATCGAGTGTGGGATCGCCATGGAGTCGGAGGGCCCGGCGGCCAAGGCGGCGTACTCCGTGTACTCGGAAGCCGTGGATCTTGTGAAGTAAGTACCATGTCACTGTGCCCGCCTGGCGCCCACTGCACTGGCCCTGCCTCTGTTGCTTGACCTCCTTGAATGGTTCTGTGAGCCGGCTCAGTACAGGGAACTTGAAAAAGTCCAGGGTGGGTGCAGCTCGGTGGTGGCGTGTGTGCCTGGCGTGCCAGAGCCTGGGGCTCCATGCCCCGCACTGAAAACAGAAGTTATGGCTCGAGAACAGTTTTTGTCCTAAATTAAAATTGTGTTCCAGCTGAAGTGCTCACCTAGCGCGGCGGGGCGCTAGCGGTCAGCGTGCCGCGCACAGCTACGCACAGGCCCCTGGTTCACCCGCGGCCGCTGCGCGTCTCCCCAGTTGCCGCGGGGCTCCCTGGGAACGCAGCCCCTGGTCCTCCTCTTTCTGTGTCGGGGGAGCTGCTGTGGCCAGGGCCGGGCCCAGCGCTGTCCCGCTCATTCGCCCGCTCTGCCCGTCCCCGCAGGTACACGGCGTCCCTGAGGTGCTGCGAGGGTACGCAACAGGAGAAGACACTCGCTGTTCTGTGGTGCGTACCTTGGCTCAGTCCGAGTTGCCTTCAGTTCGTCTTTGTTTCTTTTGATGTTTTAAAAAACTTTTGAAATTTCTTTTAACCTGAAAGTGATGGTGAAAGCCAAGTCAGTGCGTTGGCAAGGGGCGGCTCCCACTGCCCGTTAGGGAAAGGGAAGGTAGTGCTGGCTTCGCTCTTGCTGTTTCAGTTATGCTCCTGTGCATTTGGGACTTGGGCCTGGTGTTTTTGCTCACAGTCTGAGCGACGCGGAAGGTGTCCGAGGCGGACTCCTGGCACAGGCCGGCCGCCATGTCCCGGTGGCAGGCCCGTCCCGTGTGGGGCAGGACGCGCCTGACGCGGCTTCTGTGTGTCCGCAGCCTGCGGTGCCAGTCCCTGCTGCACATGGCGATGTTCCGCTGTAAGAAAGACGTAGCAGTGAAGTATTCCCGCACCCTGAACGAACACTTCAGGAGCTCCCCCAAAGTGGCCCAGGCACCTTCTCCGTGCATTGCAAGGTAAACATGGCTCATTTTTTTTTTATTTATTATTACTATTTTTTGGTACCAGGAATCGAACTCATGACCTCAGGCTTGCCAGGCAGGTGTTTATGCCGCTGAGCTACATCCCCAGCCCCAACATGGCTAATTTAAATCGTTTACAGAATGAAGTAATTTTTTTTTTTTATCTCTTGCTTTGCGACTATTTGTATATGTGGTGGGGGGGAGACTTGGCTTTTCAAAACTTGTATGCATCTGTGTGCCGCTTTGCTTCTCAAAAGTAAATCCCTAGCATTTTTCTGCCTTTTTTTTAAAATTAATTTATTTTTTTCTGCCTTTTTTGAGAAGCAGTTATCAGCCAGGGTTCAGGCTGAGTGAAGACCATAAAAGGCACATGGTCCCCTCTTAGCCGCGGTGGATGCGTTCCGCACCCCCGATGGACATCTGAACCTGCAGCTACCTGGCCCCTCTGTTGCCTTTTGGTACAGACCTCTGAAAGTGTAATTTTTATGTTAGGTGCAGTCGGGGCTGACACCTCTGGCTTAATTCATTGGAGGTGTGGCTTGGTGGCAGAACACATGCCTTACCATGCCTGAGGCCCTAGGGTCCATTCCTATCTCTGGGGGAAAAAAACCAGAAGAAAAACACGGTACTGTAATAGAAGCTGTGTAAATGTGGCCTCTCTGAGGCAAGACAAATGCTGACATTTTCAGACGACGTTGGCAGCGAGTAACCATAGCTGTGGAGGTGAAAGCATGGGTAGGAGGGGGCTCCTGTAACTGCCAAGAAGTCCAGGCTTGGAGGCCTTGGGCGCCCTGAGAACAGAGCGCCCGGAGGCAGAGCCAGCATCCCTCTCCCGCCCCTCCCCCTCCCCCCTTGGGCTGCGGCTTCTTGGCATTCAGTAAATAGGAACTTTCCAGAAGCTGTGTCCTTGGCCATTCCCAGGACCCACACTGGGACAGTACGAATGACACAGTCACACCCGGCAAGAGACTTGCTCCCCTGTGGTGTGAGATGCCGAGGAACGCAGTGCTTGCGCAGGTGTTTGTGGGAAGGGAGTGGAATGCTCTTGCCACAGTCCTTGGCTAGCAATTGTTTGAACTTGTGGTCATACTCCTTGGGGATGTCTCAGTTCTGATAAAAATGTCCAACAGTTCGAAAGGGGACTGCCCTGTGCCCTGTGGTCAGCAAAGTAAGCCCTGACGAGGAGGTGACTCTTTACTTCGGAAGGTGTCACCGCCCTAGCTCTGAGCTGTCTGAACTAAGCTCGCATTACTGTGCACAGCTCCACCAGCTCCAGGCCCCCAGCGCAGGGAGGCCCTGCTCCCGACACGCTCTCCCCCGGGCCGCGGTCTCCGCTTCCACCCTAACCGCTTAGTGGTCCAGCTTCTCGTGGGCCCACGCTGAGATCCACAGTGCCTCGACTGAGCGGCGCTGGGCCAGGGCAGAGGACAGCGCATGCCCGCCTTCGTGCCCTGGCCCCTCTGGGGCTGCCTGCTTTCTTCGCCTTCCTAGTGCTGGGACCCGGGGCCGGGGGGAAACACACTGAAGAGACCACGTGGTGAGGGAAGGAGGCCTTGCGCAGCGCAGCGCGCACGCGAGTGCCGGAGGCTCGGGTCCTGTTTAGTGAGCAGCCAAAAGCAGTCTTCCCAGCATGCCTTGGAACTGGGCATGGGAAGAGGGGAAGAGGGTGGATTTCTGAGAGGAAGTGGACTGTGCGGGAAGGGAAAGTGTGTCGGACGCGGCTGAGCCCACCTGGTGCCCCCACCATGCAGGAGTGACTGCCACCTGGGGGCGGACATAGGGAGACTCTGACTCAGCCTGTGCTCCCGAGCAAGAAGGCTGACTGTCCTCTTCTCACCCCGCAGGAGCACGGGCGCACCGTCACCCCTCTCCCCAGTGCCTTCTCCTGCTGGCTCTGCCGGGGCCCCGCCGGGTGCTGGGGGCCTGGGGAGCAGCGGGATGACTGCCACAGTCAACACCCCTGTCACCATCCAGAATATGACCTCTTCCTACGTCTCCATCACCTCCCACGTCCTCACCGCCTTCGACCTTTGGGAGCAGGCGGAAGCCCTCTCGAGGAAGAGCAAAGGTACGGCCCTGGTTCGGATTTTATGTTCAATTCCTGGACAACAGGGCGGGTGGAGCTTCGCCTCTCCTCACCTCCGTGCTGCTGGGAACCTAGCTGCAGTTCTTCTGCGAGCTCTGTGGCGCGGGGCTGGATTCCACTCGTTGGATAAGTGCTGTGAGCACCTTGCCCCTTCGTGGGTCCTGTGTCATCCCTCGGCCTGAGCGGAAGGGCTAGCAAAAGGGCAAAGCAAGTGAAGGTGGAGATTCGCTGGCTGTTCCTAGGCTCGGCATTTTTGCGATAGGAAGTAGCACAACCCCATGGCTGAGTGTTTATTTTCAGCGTATGTTAAGAAAAATGGTTAGCTGCAGGCGCGCAAGATGGCCTAGTAAACGTTCTTGCAGAGAGGAAGCCCCGGGGACGCCCTGGGGGTGAGAGCAACGGAGCACGCAGTCAGGGGCGCTGCTGAAGCCGGCGCCAGGCAGCACTAGTAAACGCTCAAGTGTGCGTGCCTGCGTGAAGCCGTCGGTTTTCTCTCTGGCTGCGAGAAGAATGTGGGCTGCTGGCCGGGGCCTCTAAACTTCCCACGGCCTCTTACAGCTTTGTCTCTCTCAGCAAACCAGCGATGCTTGTAACACGGCTGGCGTTTTGTTTTGTTGCCCATCCACCTGTTGATCCACGTGTATTACAGTGCCAGACTCTGTGCTGGGCAGATTTTAGCTTCTACTCTGGTCCCTGCCCGTCCAGCCTTCTAGCCTAGTGGAGGGTGCAGAGAATCAGTGTGATCAGGAGAATCGGGAGAGAGAGCGAGAGCGCGAGCGCTCCGCGTGGGGTGTTTGATTTGTGGCTGTGATAAAATGCAAACGTAGGGACATAGCTTCTAGAAACTTGATGTGTTCTGCTTCCGTTTTCATTTTCGTGCTCATGCATGTTTCCTTGGTTGTTTTTTTTTTCAGAATTCTTTGCTCAGCTGAGCACAAAAACATGCACCTTGGCCCTCAACAGCAGTTTGGCAGACCTGGTGCACTATGCGAGACAGGGTTTTCAGCGGCTAAAACAAGCAACCAAAACACCTTAACACACGCCCACGGTGACCAAATGCCTCGGGAGTTACTTTTGCACATTGGAAGCCTCGGAACCAGTCTGGATGATTGTCTCAAAAGGAGCTCTGTGCGATGATCCGGAAGCTTGTCCGCTTGCACCCTGGCGAGCCGCGTGGCCAGCGGTCGGACGCCGTGGCTGTGCCGGAGCGGGGATGGGGCCGGCCGAGAGACGATCCTGCTCTTCCCAGCTGCACGCAGAAGGGCAGCGCCGCCTTCTCGGCACGCGCTGGGTCTGGATCGTTTTCCCGGGTTTTTGTTGTGTTTGTTCCGAACCAGCGAGAGGCAACTCTGAAAGCAAATTCACATCATCTCCGTAGTCACACTCGTCCACTCCCAGAAGGAAACTTTTTTAAGAATGATTTTTGGTGGAGGGTTTTGTGGTCGATTTCTTCTTTCTAAGTTTTGGGGAGGATTTGTGTCGTGGATGCTAATGGCCATCTCAAAGCGTAAGTTGTGAAGGACGCCCCTGTAGCCTTTTCTGCGGGTCGGCAGGGGCTCTGATAATACTAAGTATTATCCTAATTTATAAAACGGAAGGAAACCCCATTCCCGATGGACTGCACCCTCACCCCAGCTCAGAGGCCTCCGACTGCGCTGGGAGGTACGCGTGGGGACCAGCCCCAGCTCCGTCCTCGGGGCTGAGCATCGCCGTCCCCTCCCCGCTTCCAGGAAAAGGACTTGGTGACAAGGCGGTCACCTTGGACTGTCTTCTGATTTTCCTGTGTTGGGGAAGAAGGGAATCAACTTTGATACCCGACCAGACGGCTAACGTGCTTCTTCAGCGTCCAGCACCGCTGGAGTCCAAGGTGCTGGGTGGTGGCCTGCAGCTGTGTGGTAACGTGTGTGTGACCAGCTCTTGAGTTTTGTCAGTGAACAAAGGAAAATGAAATCTTCTTAGAGAGGCTATATTTTTCTGCTACAAATTATTTTATATTTATAGCAAAACCAAACTTTCTGAGCCTTTGATTGACTAGAGGAAGTCAACTCCGTGAGAGGAGGCGGAGACTGGGGGGACTGATTAGACTTTTTCAAAATCGTCACCACATGCCTTCACTCCAGAGTATTCTCGGCCAGCCAGCGTGGGGCGCGGAGGAGGAACCGTGGCCTCAGAGTTCTCGCCAGGCTGTCTGGACCCGACCAGGATGGCAGGAATGCTGGGACCGGTCTACACTGGGGTCCCACACGCCCCTCCCACGGGCTCTGCTCCTGGACACTTTGCAGGTTCACATGGGGAATACTCTGCTGAGTGCAGTGTTTTTTTAAAAGCCAACTCTTCCTTCCCCCCTTTAGAAGATAGGATTTGCACATGTATTACACTTGAGGAGTGTTTCTCTGTGATTAATTGGCCCATTGACGCCCCCTCCGCCCCGTTCGTGCCTCTGCACGTTTCCTCCCAAGCATGTTTCATCATTTCGTATTTATTACTTGTGAAGAAGGGAGAGCCACCTTTGTTTACCACGAAGAGGTCTCCAGTGCCTGGGGTGAGTGTGGAAGTGTCTGTGTTGCGTGGTGCCCGAGGGAAGGGCGGGCCGGGAAGAGGACTCGAGTGACACTTGTTTGTTTCCCGTCTGTCCCCCTCGCTGGGTTAAAGCCATAGATGTCTGAGCAGAAGACCTTGATGTGCAATCCTGACAAAGCAGCTTCTCTGTGGTTGCTCTAATGCAAACTCGGTCTTTCTAAACTCTTAGTTTAAAAAAGAACTTTTATTAAGTGAACAGTAATTGCTCAGCAGGTTGTGTGTGTGCTGTGTGTGTGTGTGTGTGTGTGTGTGTCTTGTGTGGCAGGGACTCAGCGCTCAAATCAGTCCTGTGCAGTCTTCTGCCACGCTTTACCTTGCTCCCTTGGCTGGCCCCTCCCCGCTAAGCTACCTGTCACTCATGCAGGGCAGTGTGCTCCACGGAGCATGCGCCCTCCCAGCGACCCACCCTGCGCCCTTGACCCAAGACATTGTTCTGCAGTTCTCAGAGAACACGTGGCTTTTTCTGTGGCCTTATTCTTTGCAGGAGTTCTTTCTAAACTCCATATTAAGTTTTATTTGTCCCTTGAGAAACTCACAGATTGGGATAAATCAGTTTGTAGTGCTTCTGTCACTGTATTTCTGATGCTGACCACAACACTCTGTGCGCCTAAAAGGTTGCACCTGGGGACCGTTCGTGTCCATAGGTGTCTTTGCTGTTATAGCTGGGTATAGAAATCTATACAGAAAGATTTTTAAATCATTTGCACTTTTCCACTGCATGGTTACAATTCCCAGTGGCAGAATTTATACTGAGGTAGAGAATTTGAGACGATTGCATTATACATTGAAATTTAAGTCTTTGAGTATGTGATGTTATCGTAACAGTAATAATACCCACTTTACACTGAGACAAAGAAAAACATCCTGAGTAAAAAATAGAGTAAATCTTGCCTTTGCCATGGCGGGGTGTGTTTATGTGCATACGTGCACACACACAAGATGGGAAAACACTTTTACTTTTACAAGTGTTGAATGATTCTGCCCTGCTGGAGATAAATAAAATGTGAATCAGTAAACTTAGGAACCCTGCTAAACAATGAAACACTATTTTTTTTTTTTTTTGGTTTTTCTCCGGTACCGGGAACTGAACTCACGACCTTGCGCTTGCCAGGCAGGGGCTTTGCCGCTGAGCTAAATCCCCAGCCCCGAAACACTATTGAAATACACCACATTCTACTTGGTTAAGACTGTGAAAGCATAGGCCCCTCCTTAACCAGGGGAGGGGCCCGCAAGCAGTGATCAGGAGTTAACTACAGTTCCCAGATGCGTGAATCTGACCATCTGATACTGTGATTCAGTCACAGTATCGAATGGGGGAAAAGCCTCTATTTTTTTTTTTTTTTAACCAAAAGACTTCCATAGATCTGTTCTGCCCAAAATGTGTAGCTCTTCCCCGCAACAAATTGGACATTGACCTCTCTTGTTCTGTGTCTAAATTCCAGATCTCAGGGTGTTCAGAAGCTAAGAAAAACTCCCCTTATTGGCTGAAACCTTGCCTTAACTGGTCCCTTAATACTGATGTTGGAAGGATCAGGAGCTTACTCTTACGTGTCCTGTGTGGTCACGTAAAAGCAAGCAGGGAACCACTGCGTGCTCCAAGCCGTTATCTCTGCTGCTTAGAAGAGTGGGAGCTGATTCCACGAGAGTGTGTGTTGTGCCTTAGTTGACCCAGCCTCATTTTGAAAGAATGTCATTTTATGTTTAGCCACAGCTTCAAGGGATTACGGGAGCCTTCATCTTTTATCCTTCTGCTTTATAAAGTGTGGAGTGTAATTGTGCATCTTAAGGTAAATGAGTTGGGCTTTTATAAATGTATCTCAAAAAATGTCCATGCCTCCTACCAGGTTTCTTTTTCCTAATGATTTATAATCCCCAGTACAACAGAATGTTGGAAAAACTTTACCACTGCATCTGTTACCACTGATAACCAGTATTTCAATCTTGGGAGAATTCCCGGGGCGTCTCTGGGCACCCGGGAAGGGCCCTCGCTGCGGGGGGTTGCACCGCCGCGGTGGGTCGGTGCGGGAGCACAGCGGCGCTCCTTCCCCAAGTGGCTGATGGGCCCAGTCTTTCGTGCTTGGTCCCACTTGGAATAACAGACGTAAGGCGTCTTCCTGTGCTTTGCCTACAGCAGAGCAGCGCGGTGTTGGGGATCTCCTTCCCGCGCGGCAGCTGCTGGGTTGGTCCGCCCTGTGAGCGCTGGCTGCGCAGCTGTGCTGCTCTCCTGGTGACTGAGAACGCGTCCCACGCATTGTGAGCACTGGCCTTTGCTTTAGCTCTTCCTTCTGCTGCACTGACAGGCACCATCTACCGTTTTTCCTTGGGTGGTTGTAAATTCCTTGCTCTTTTGGGACAGTAGCATTACATCCTGTGCCCCGCGTACCCTGGACGCCAGGTACTCCGTCCTGCAGAGCAGGGCCAACGCCTCCCCTGAGAGGCGCATCAGAGACAGGAAGGAACTCCTGCAGCTCCTAGGGAGCCTGCAGGTCCCGCCCAAGCCTGGGAGGCAAGGGAGCCGGGCCACTGGCAGATCGTGGCCGAGCTGACCTGAGGAGGGCAGCTTGCTTGGTGTAAAGTAGATGTTAATCAATGCTCTATGCAAGAAGTATTAAGTTCGCCTTTTGTTCAGGCCGTGCCATGTGTGGTTAGGAAGGGTGCACATTCTCCCTCAGAAGCCAAGTACACTGTTCACCTTGGGGTGTGGGTGTGGGTGTGGGTGTGCGTGTGCACACACACGTGAGTGCCTGTGGCCCAAATCTCCCCCCCACCCCCGTGGCCCAAATCTTTTTTTTTTTTTTCTCCTCTCTCTCCTGAATGTGATTATATTTTCGATGATACCTGCGCAGGGTTGCCTTTTTTATTTATTATCATTATATATTATATATTTTTTGCTTTCTTAATACTTCAGAAGAAAGTAAAATCCTGGTATTACTGAAATGGTTTTAAAAGAAGTAAACTGTCCAGGTGATAAATGAACGTCACTGGGATGTCCTTACAATAATGAGCTCTCCTTCGTGACTGGGTCGGGGCCGCTGTCGTCACAGCGCGCCTGCGCGGCGGCCGGGGGACGCTCAGCGCCTGCGCCAGTCGGACCGCTGTGTATTTTATCGCTTCAGCAACACAACTTGCCTTGGGGCTTTTGTGAGTACAGCTTAGCTGCCTTGTGTAGTCCTTTGAAAGAGACACATGTAGTCTGTGAGAGAATTACAATTTGTTTTTTAGCAGAAAAGTTTGCAAAAGATCTTTCCAAAGATAATGTGCCACGGATCTTTTGTTCTCTGTAATGAGGATTAAATGTTTTTTAAACCATGTAATTGATTTGTTCATCTTTAAATTCTTTTCACGAGAGAATCGAGCTGTTACAATAAAATTAATAAAACTTTAGAGAAATCACTGGGGTCAGATCCATGCTTTTCTTCATTTGCCGGAGCAGGTAAATTCCTGGGTTACTGCGTGAGTTGCCGTCGGCCGCCGGCCCACGCTGCGGTTGGAGCTGTGCGCGCTTCTGCGCATGAGCGTGGGTTGCTGAAGTGGGGAAACACATGCGGCCGGGAGGCGGTTGCCTTTCCACTGGGCTTCTCAAGGTCATAGCCTCACACGAGCTTGTCTGAGATCAGTGGAAGCTCACGCTCAGGTCACCTGCAGTGTGTCCAGCACCAGGGTCGCGTGTCCCCAGTGTGTGCGGGGTAGATGTGTTTGCAAATGGTGGTATTGTGAGAAATCGAAAAACTAGATCTCCTCACCGTGCCAGCCCTGAAGAAATAATGCCTCAGGAGCTTCATGAGATCAGAAAAGACCTAGGCCCTGAAATCTGACTTCCTGGATTTGAATTTTGGTTCCTGAGTCTGTTATGTAGCAGTGGATACATTATGTAACCTCTCTGAGTCTGTTCTCCCATTTCTAACCCATGTTGATTGGGTACCTACCCAGTAACTGCAGGGGGCACAGCTAATGATACAGGGTGCTCGTCGCAGTCCCCTGGCATAACGATCTTGGAAACTGGTCGCTGTTTTTATTCCCTCCCTGAATACTGACAACTGTCTTCCCAGAGGTGGGTGGAGGCGCACACCTGTAATCCCAGCGCTTCGGAGGCTGAAGCAGGAGGATCGCAGTGAGTTTGAGGCCAGCCTGGGCTGCATAGTTCAAGGCCTCCTGAACTACACAGGGAGACCCTGTCTCAAAAACACAAAGCAAAACAAAACAAAGGACTCCCTTTCCACCTGGTATTTATCTGCGTTTCCTCCTTTCTTCCGCTGAGTCCTAAGGAGCGAACGTGAGCCTGCCCTCGGGGAGCCTGCAGGTCAGGCGTCACTGCACAGACAGCGTGTGTGGTGTGTGTGGAAGGAGTGTGCCCCCCTGCACGGGAATGGGGCAGCGCGCTCACTGGGATGGGCTGCAGAGGTGAGGCATCAGCTCCCTTCCACTCACGTGTTTGAGAATGCAGAGGTCAGCGGGTGTTGTCCAGGAGCGGTTGTGCCAGGCTATTGAACCAGCCAGCTGTTGCTTGCTGAGATTACTTCTAATCTAGGGAGATGAAGATAGAAAGAATGTTACCGTAACAATCTCTGAAAAGATATTTGAACAAATTTCAAACTGTTCTTTGGAAGAAATTTCTAAAGTGGTTATAAGGTGAAAAGATACAATTTCTACTTTCTGGTTTGTTTCTTGAGATGGAGTCTTGATATGTAGTCTAGGCTAGCTTTGAGCTCCCCGTGATCCTCCTGCCTCAGCCTCCTGAGTGCTGGGATTACAGGTGTGTGCCACCATGCCTGGCTGTACATACTTTGTTTTGAAAAATTTCAAACACAGAAAATCTGAACGATTAGTACAGTGATCACATACAAGTTCTGACTAAGAAGTCTGGTGCTTAAAATAATTTTATTACAGTGAAAGACACATTGCCATGAATTGCCCTCTAAATACTCTGGCTTCTATTTTTTTATCTTTTTGAGACAGGGTCTCGCTATGCAGTTCAGGCTGGCCTTGAGCTCACTTTGCAGCCCAGGCTGGCCTTAAACTCGAAATGATCCTCCTGCCTCAGCCACCTGAGTGCTGGGATTACAGGCGTGTGCCCCCATGCCTGGCTTACCCTGGCTTCTAACATCCATCGTTCTTGCCACTTTCGGAGGCAGTTCTGCAAGCCCTCTGTCCCGAGTGTCTTTAGCTGCCCTGTTGTGCCTGCCTTTGTGTCCTCTATGATCAGTGTTGGCTTTGGGGAGGAGTCGGCAGTCGCACGGTGCCAGAGGAGGTGAGTAGAGCGGATGAGACACATGGTGCCGTTACAAGCCTGCCTTTCTGCTGGATGGCACGTGGGACAGCGTTCGCCAGCTCCGTTGCTGTTTGGTTATTCATACGTGTTTGAAATACACAGTGGTGACCTTCCCTGTGGGGCTTTGGTACACGTACACACATCTTTTTACCTTCGCTGTATCTTTTTGTTTTTGGTTTGGTTTTTTGTCTTTCTGAAGCAGGGTCTTGCTGTGCAGTTCAAGCTGGCCTTGAGCTCACTTTGCAGCTCAGGCTGGTCTCAAACTCACGACAGTCTTCCTATCACAGCCGTAAAGACATGAAAGGGGACTTAACAGAACTGCTTCAAAAAGTGGCAGTGTATCTTAAATTTTAA